AAGAAACAAACCAACTAACATTAAGCATGGGCTAACTAGAATGCATGACAGCATACAACCAGAAAGGAGGGTACTAGGAAGCCGTGCACAAAGATAGAAGAGGTGAGGGGGATCCCTAAATGATACAATTGACAACATTAATAATATAACAAACTAATTGCCTCTAAGTATAAGAGAGGTGATCAACAAAGTACAATAGAGAAAGGTCTGTTGAGTTGTTGAAGAACTCACTCAAGAATGTAACCGGTTTCATGCATGAACCGTTTTAGAACCTGCTTCCAAAACATTGTGCGCCATCTGCATGAATTGAGCAATAATCATGCAGTGATTCAATATTTATTTGACAAGAGTTTATCTTTTTGGCCTTATCATTTGTCAATTAGAAAATTTTACATTTAGTGCATCCCATGAAGGACAAAACAAGGGCACAAAGAGTATTGGTGGTGACATACTCTGGTAGTGAGCATGCATTCTCAGAATGCAGGAAGAACACAGCATCAACACTTGTGAAACATCAATTGCAAATTAATAACAAGACAGCTCCTTGCTCATTCTTTCAACATACACACATAATTTCAAGGTTATAGAAACTACATGTCCAAGAATGCACACTTAAACATGAAAAAATTGTTGGGAGAATTACATTACAGGTCCCACACAAGAAAATTAATTACTACAAATATCCATTGACAACTAAACTAAAGTCAATTAATTTACTAGTGTGGGGCTTCAACATAATTCTCTCAAAATTGTTTGCAAATGTAGAGCAGCAGAATGAATAAAAATAACCACCAGGCACATGATTCTGTAGATAATATAATCCCACTATCTACAGTGAAAAAATAAAATAGAATTCACCTCAAGTAACTGTCACTTAAAGAAAGGAGAAAATTGTGGCACCTTTGGATCCTTATCGAGACAAAAGGTCATCATAGCATAAGCAATATAAACATGATAAGTGCAATTTGGGGATTTGCGAGCATCCAGAAAGTACTTCCGAGCTGCTTCAACACCTTCTGTTCTTCTTAGGAAGCGAATGAACTGCATCATGGAACACACATATTACATTTCTGGAAGGAAATTTGTTTGCCCCGTCATTGATGGAACATATTCTACTAGAATGAAAATGTTAGTCAAAAAGAAATGTAATGCTATCTAATCAACTAAACTAGTCTGAGCAAACCACTTTAGATAAATATGAAATTTAACTAAAGAGCTTTTCATCAGATGGAAGGGTATTCAAATCGGATGCTCCAGCAAATTTAAAACAGTTCAAACACACAGAATAATTCAAACTTAAAGATCAGACCTGAATTTTACAGAATCAAACATAACACATGTCAGAAGAAAATGGCTGATCACTAAATCCATCCCTCCCTCATTTAACACATTCACCGCCCAACTATTCCAGCCAACACCTCTGATGAGCATTAAACACATATTCGGGGACTATTTCACATACTTGAATATGCGCAAGTGCAGTTGTGCTGACACCACATCACACCCAAAGGCTTTCATATACTTTCTTTGCAGCCTGACATAAAACCAAAAAAAAAAGAGAGAGAGCAAAAAGGAAAAAACATTAAATAACTAAAAGAACAAAATGGTAGCAGATATTGAAACAGTTGAACAATTTGTCACACCTGAATTGCACCACGAGATTCCTCCAGCTCTGCATAAGCATAACGTAGCATTTCCGAATCTGCTTATAAATGAAATGCCAACAAAGAGGTTACTAAAAAGAAGTCAGCAAAAATTCCCTGTGAACCATATTGATGGGAATTAAATGCAATATTAAGCTCTGCCAAAGGATAAGAACAAACTTTAACCAATGTAGATTTTACAGTAGGCATCAAATGAAGACAAGGCAAAGACAAATAAGATAAAGAAAATGACACTCTTTTAAGTCTTAAGGACATCAGAAAAATTGGATTCCGCAGGTCATAGCCACACATGTATAGCCATATAATTTCAAAGCACAAAACATTTTTTTTTCCTTCTTGGGCTGGATTTTGAAGACATGGATTCAAAAGTTTGTTCCTTGCAAAATGCTGCATTATAAAAAATAACTTTAAGGTTGCAATTAAAAGCTCGAGATATAGAGGCAACAGTAAACGCATTTCAAAAATATACTAAATTAATGGAAGAAAAGGACCACATACCAGGGAGAGCCTTCAGCGACCGCTGAAACACTTTGAGTGCAGCATCTATTGAACCACCTTTTGCATGCCATGTCGCATAATCATACCATATATCAGGATAATGGTACAGATACATCAGACACTGAATACCAGCACAACACAGTAAGCAATCCCATAAATAAAAGGACAAATAAAAGGAAACAATAAAAGTAAAACGCATGATTAACGATGATGATAATACCACATCTCAATAAGGGAGAGGGGTTTTATTTCCTCTTTCAGTGGATAGATAGGCCATAAGTTCAATGGAAATGCTTCCCATGGACAAAATACTATTAAGTACATAGTTCTTTATAAACTAGGTCAATAATGAGTATTGTCATGATAAATTTGTTCATTTATTGCAACAAATTCCAGTTCAGAATCTGTACTAAAGAAATAATTCTTGTGAACTTTCCTAAACAGAATTAGATGCTCAAAGTTGCTTTTCACGTAAGTTTACAAGTGAGTTAAAAACCATGAAAGTATTATAGTAAATCCTACTTGGATTGAGGAATGGCTTGCAAAGAGGGTTTCTCTTTTAGGAAATAAACTAAAAACGCTTTGCCATCATAAATTGAACAAATATCCCAAAGCTAGAGTGCTAGACATGCCAGGGAATAGGAACGGAATGGTAACTTCTTTTCTTTACTCAATCAACACCAACAGCAAGTCAATAGATAATGGCTTCCCATTCCAATCTCTCAACTAAACACAGAAGAGATGGAAAGGAACTGGAATATTCAATCTCTCAATTAATTTTTTTACTTCAGCCCAAAAAAGGAAGTAATTGTTTTTCTTTTCCTTCCTCCCCCTTTAGCCCTTCCTCTCATCTGTGCCTAATGGGTGATTTATGCTATCTTTCCATTCTCTCCTTTTCCAAAAAAAATTCCTTTAACATATTAAAGGACAGGTAATAAACTTTTTTGGCCTAAAAAAGACTTTTAAAGGACTGGATGTACCAACTTATTAAGAAAATGCATGTTTTCATCAAAACAAGAAATGAAAAAAAAAAAAGTATGCATAAGTACTCATAAAATCAAATACTCAAAACATAATCAGCAGCAATTATATTTTTCATCCCCACAATGTCGATAAGATGCAGCCAACCATTTATATTAGCACGACTTAGACGCAAGGAAGATTAGGAACATAAGTCTGAAGTTCAAAAGCTACTAAAGATGTATATTTGAACATCTAGTAACAAATGAGGATGCTTAGAGACCTCGATGTATCAAAATTAGGGACCTGGGATCATGCTGGCAATAATTATATCCATTAAACAGGATCAAGATGCACTGACAACTGACACAAAAATTCAGATGAAACATTTGAAAAAAACAGTATCAGAATAAAACTTACAGTTGGGAAGAACTAAAATGAACGGTTAAAATTTATAATAACTAAGTATATTTAATATTACCTGCTCATAAGTAAATATGATTCGCTTGTTTGAGGAAACAGAATCTATTCTCTGTGGATTTCCTCTGGAATGCAGAAAGATTAATAAGAACCATTTTCAATTACTTAATCTTAGTCGCATAGATCAGCATAAATTGCTATAAAGATAAAGAAATGAAGATGGCAAGGCATCATATTCATCTAACAGCTTTTTTAAATGGTTAAGAGCATACAAATGCATAACACCATAATTTGTCAGATTCTTTTACAGAAAAATATGTTATATTGGCAACCCAACTTCCCAGCTGTAAGATGATTCTTTGTGAATTTTTTTCTTTAAAGAAAATTTTAGATAAACCAAATTGTTGTCCTAAGTCCATAAACACAACATTTAAAAATCAATAATATTCCTTCAACGAAACTTCAATGATTAAAAGTAACCAAGACAAAAGGCAATAGACCTTTCCCTCATCCCCGGTTTAGAGGTAAAGCAAGACAGAGATGATACAAAGAAAGTTGCTATGAAGAATGCAAAGGTGACCCATATTTGGAGTATATGGGAACAACGTAATGCAAAGCAACAAGATTCTCTTCATTCTCAAAGGGTTAGGGTTGCATTCCTGACTTTCTTGTGCGTTAAAGCTCATGATGGTTTTCGGGGTTAAGTTAACAGGTTATGCAGAGAGGCAGGAATATGCAATCTCGAAAAAAAAAAATTAATAGTTTTTCTTTTCATTTTTTTCTCCTTTTTAGCCCTTTCTGTCAGCTGTGCTTAATTGGTAATTTATGCTACCTTTTTATTCTCTCTACTTTCCTTTATTATAAAAGGAACTGGGAAAAAAAAATATAGGCCTAAAAGACTTTTAAAGGAATGGACTATTTTGATCTCTCATGTCTTCCTTTTCTTGTTTCCCTTTGTAAATCCTTCATATCAGTTATAATTAGCCGGCCTTTTATACTATTACAACCAACTTATTCTCTCTCCTTTTGTAAGAAAATCCCCAATTACCTTGCCAAGCAGCCCAGATCTTTGATGGATGTATCAACTTGTTAAAAGATGCATGTTTACATCAAAACAGAAAAGGTTAAAAAAAAAAAGAAAAGAATTGCACAACTATACATAAAATAAAATAGCTAAAACATAATCGGCATCAATTGTATGATTCATCCCCACAATGGATCAGTAATGGGATTGTAAAACTAAAAGCTAAGACAGACCAATGTAATTCTCACTTTTCAAAAGCCAACAGTCTCTTCCATGCGATCCACTGCCCTTCTTCCTGTCAAAGAAACAAATTACGACTGGTCATGACAAATAATCACACAATAAAGTTCAATACACATTCAGTCAAGAATCTTCAACTCAAAAGCTTAAATTTTTATGAGAAAACCCATTATCGGTTTCACTAATATCTCATTGGGTTTGAAGTGTAGACAAAGGCCCATCATATATTGAGCCAAAACTTGAATCTTCATCAGGAAAGAAGGGGGCAACAGGAATCAAGCGCTTGAACACTTGATCACTTGAGACTTCTACACCATATCGAGGACTACTTCAACCAAAAAGCATAAGCAGTTCGTTGAAGATCCAAGATTGGTTTTATCAATATACTTTTTAAGAAATATGTATGTACCTCTAGCACGCACAATTTCCTGAAAAACATGATAATTGGAAGCTTAAGCAGGCCAATAAAAAAAAAAAAAACTTCCAAGACTTTATTTATGTGTGCGCGTTTATCCTATAAAATATCAGAGCTTAATAATGTTTTGCTTTCTTTCATGCACAAATGACAACTGTAACAAGTGCTGAATTATATCAGGAAGCTAAGCAGTATTTTAATAGTTAAAAAATAAATAAAGTTTGCAATTTGATCATTATCTGTCCAAATTGTACTAGAGCACTCTTTCCAACAGTTTCATCCCGTTGCATGTTTCCAAGAGAAACTCGACTGCATGTTGAAACAAAAGAAACCATTCTGAAGCATCTATCATTGGTAATTTGTAATTAGTGCGCAAAGATGCAGAAAATTGCCTTGGCAGATCCAGTTGGTGGTACAGCAAGCATATTCCAATCAATTTCATCAACATATTTCTTCCGCTCCCTGTAGACTGCCCTAGCACTAGTATATTTTGGTTGATATTCAGATATCAATCCTTTGGCCTATGAAATACATTTACCATCAGACAGCGTGCCTTCAATATTTCTTAAGTAAGGGTATAAGTAAGCCACAATTTCACATTAAGTATGAATCTAAGACATACCAACTGACGACTAACAGAATTTTCAAAATTTTCATATTCCTTCCAAAGCTGTTCAATGTGATGGGTAGGAGTAACAACGGCCTTTTGGTATGCTTTCCGCACAGCAGTCATCCGGTGCGATTCTTCTTGAGAGTTTAGAGCCTGAAAATGAAGTCAACAAGAATAAATGAAAATTAATAATGAATTATGCCATTCATCTCTATTTTGCACAAAAGATGGGGACAACTACACAAACCCGCAATGACTTTAAAAAGGATATGTACTCCATCCATACTGGGCCAGATGCTATGTCTGCTCCTGTCAATGTATTATTGGAATTCATCAAATTATTGGCAAAAAAACACCATTTTGCCATTCTGAATAATATAGACCACAAATCTTTTTACCCTCCTTTTCCCCAAGTACACTCTCAAACCTTAATATCCTTAAGCAGTTTTATAAAAAGGGGACGTTATATTAGGAAAACAATAATAACTATAAATAAGGCTTCAAATACCAGAAATTTTCCAGCAATACATCTTACAGGAGAAGGCTGCTAGTAGTACATATAAAATATAAATGAAGGCTACTTCCAGTCCCAATCCCCCAAGCACATATTTGATAGAGTGACTTTAACTAGTTGAAAAAAAAAATTGAAAATATATAACCAGATCCCCAAAATGATGCCAAAAAAAATTTAATCAAAATAAAAGAAAATTAGGATATTTAAATAAAATCGGTAAGTAAAATTATATATAAAGTTCCTCTTAGCCAAAACGTAACATGCTAATTGCTAAGACACTCTCTTTAGGCTAGTAAACTTCAAGACGTCCAGTTCCCCAGAAGCCCCTCCCTGAAACTCGATAAGGTTTACATCAATGAATTATTCTATGTTAACCTGTACATCAAATAGAAACCTTTCAGATTCCTCCATCAGTAAAAAGTAAAACTACAGATATCATACAATGACCTATAAGATACAGGATGATAAGATTGAGGGAAAAGATTTACCAACATAGTTGAGCATAAAATCAAAAGCTTTTCTTGTCTCTTCTTGACCCTCTACCCCTTTCTTCTCATTAACCTTTCTAATGAAACGAATGTAGCACCTCCTACAAAGCCAAGATAAAAAAGGAGTTGAGAGATAAAGCAAACATAATACCAGTAGAAAGAGAGAGAGAGAGAGAGATAAAAAGATGGATATCCACTCCATTTTACAAGGAAAGCAATCAAAGTGGATATTTAAGAATGCCTCTAACGATCATGACAAACACTGAGATATTATATTCATATGGTTTCAAAGTATGTATACGTGGAAAGTCGTCAGAGCACAGCATCCATGCATAAACCAGATATCATCTTTACGGTGACATGCAGACTATTTCTATTCATTTCAATACCAAAGAATTAAAGGATGGGCAGAGATGGAGGGGTCAAGAAAGAAAAATCCAAAAACAAATATTTTAGATGCCAATAGCGGGAATTTACAGCATATTCATATGGAATATCAAATGTTCAAAACAATAGGCGCAAACGAGAGATACAACATATTGACACCAGTTATAGTGATCCGAAAGTAAGTTTACTCCATCAGCCATTGGCCTAATACGATTAAAGAATTGACATACCAGAGAGGAATCTGAAGACAAATTAACAAGCAGCGACTAAAAATCTGTTTGGTTGCATCATCGTTGTTCACAGCCATATACGCCTCGACATATTGCTTCCAAAACTTGGCCTGGAGTCAATAGCAAACTTTGTTAAGCATTAGTAATTACTAATTATACCTCTACAACAAATCTTCCGCCGATACAGTTGAGGAACATAAATGAAGCACCAAATAAAAACACTCACAGCTGTCGGAAACAATGTGAGAAGTTGTTCGTATATAGGTGTCGCCTCTGCAATTGGTAAATTCTGAAGAGAGAAATACGAGGACTGAATAATTCTTTGTTCACATAGGGGGTGAAGGTTCTATAACAAAGACAGGAAATTTTGAACTTGAAATGGGTCGAACCTGAGCCTCGTTCGCCAAGATTTCGGCGGCTTCAACATTGTACTTGTCCGCCACTGGTTTGACAGAGTCAGTGGTATTATCCTGGAAGAAGGGAAAAAAAAAAATCACACATTTATGCATAGCCTGCAGAAAGTAATTCATCCTCCAATAAAAAGCAACAATGTACCGAAGAAAATGAGCTAGTGCATTATACCATGACAGGGCTTAGAAGACGCCACTCATATGGAAGAATTGATTAAGCACACAGTCTTGAAAGACCACAGTAGATACCACACTCAGAAATCTCGCAGCAGAAGTGACAGGCAAGAAACCAGAACAAGGAGGAACATACGGCTCTTGGAAGGACGACAAGTAATTTACCAGGGTTAACGGAAATTTATACTTTATAGGAGGGCAACACGGCAAGAAAAGGTCGGTGCAAATGAACCAGCGTAATTTTCACGGCGTGTGTTTTAGGATGTCGGGACTCGGGAGGAAATTCAAGGTTTCATTAATTGCTGATTGACAGTCTTTTGATGTTTAATCAGTCCATTAGCTGGCTCCTGATTGATACTCTCCTCCATTTTTTTTTTTATTCCATTAACAATACTGTTTCTTTGGCCCAAAAAAATGATACTATTTCAATAAGGTCCAATAGATTTGTTAAGAAAAATTGAAGGCGCGGATAATCGACGTTGACAAAATTCGGAAACCCCTTTAGTTAGCAGGGTCATCGATATAATTTTAAAAAAGAATTGAAACTTGTAATGTTTGATATATCTATATCCATATATCAAATAAATCTCTAGCAAATGTCAGTTAAAAAAAAAAAAATCTTAGAGGCGAGTTCGGGATATCATGTGTTAATTTTTTTTTAAAAAAAAGCTTGGTGCATCATATAAAGCGATGTTGTATTATTTAAAATAATATTATCTAATGTTTAATAGCATAAAATATATGTATCTTAATATGTTATTCTGGGTTATCTGTAGAGAAATAATAATTTTGTAACGTTAAGATAGACGTTAGCTTAAATAGAAAACTTCTCTGAAATTTTAAATGTTAGGGAGAAAATAAATATTTAGTATTTTATTTTAAAAAAATAAATTACCTATCATGGGTACTAACAAATGGCAACACCAGTTACCAATCAAACGCAGCAAATTATTTTGTACAAATAATTTTATTTTCTCATTAAAAATTATAGAAATAACAATGATATACAATGAATAAAAAAACTTGATCACTGAATAAGAGTCAAGACAAGATACACTTTCTCCACAAAAGTGAAATTTCAAAGATTGGAAAACAAATTATCCTTTTTATGCCTTGTTGTTTAGTATTTAATTTTAATTAATGTTTACCTATAATGTAATTTAATAAATATTTAAAATTACTTTTTTAAAAAATAATTTAAATTTATCTTGAGTAAAAAATTTATCCCTATTATCCAAATTTTCAAGGTCAGACATCACATCAAATGTGACAATAACAACCATGCAAGAAGGTTAAGTAACAACTAGTGTTTTCAAACTCAAATCGGCCTAGATGATCAGACCGGCTAGACTGTCGTTTGAAGAAGAAAGTAGTTTGATTCAACCATTTGATCTGTTTTGACAATTAATCCAAGTTGGCTTGCTTTACTTAAGTGGTTCTTGACAACCAGGGTCTTAAAGCAGATAAAATGTTTTGACTCGTTTGTTTCATTTAAATACTATTTTTATGTAATTATTGTGTTATCAATTTCACTATCATTCTAACCAATTAAACCATGACAATCATGACTCACTAATCATTTTGGTTTATTATTTAATTTGATTTTTAAAACATTGCTGACATCAAACGTAATGACAATGCGCATCCTATGAAAAGAATGGGTGGCTGAAATACAAGAACATAAGTGGGGCAAAGTGATTGAGAGTCATGATAGGCAATATATGCTATGTTTTAAAAATAACAGTAAAAAATATAATATCATGCTATCTGTTCATGGTTGAACAACAAATATCAAGTGTGTCAGAGACGCTGAGTCTCAATAGATAACGAAAAGGGTCTCAAGTTTCTTTATCACAGTTCACTCGAATGTAAAAAGATACAAGACTTTGATAAAATAAGTGTATGATTTTATTGAAGTGTTAAAAGATTACAGACTAAAAACTAAAAAATGAAAAGGGCTAACGAATGTAAAATGTACGAGCTTTGATGGAGTGTTGACTAATTTTTTCTGTATTTTCTCTTTCTATTTATAGTGTCAGAATAGTGAATGCCTTTTCCTTGAAACTTAACACGTTCTATCGAAAAATCAAAAATCTCGTGAAACTCATGGCACGGTCTCTTCATTTTGATAACTCGCCCATTTCATCGAACTATTTGGACGTAGATTTCAGCATTATGTAGGCTCGTATCTTCGTGCCAACGGTCTAATACTTGTAACTGACAGGATTTTGGCATGCTTACTTGTTGTGATCTTTATTGAGCTTTAGGGCCGGCCCTTTTTGTTTATATTGGTCCTGAAACTTCAATTACCCAGCCCAGCTAGCCTTATGACATATTTGAGCGACGTTTCATATTTAATCCAAACACTAGCTAAAATAAATTTATAATAATTAAATTAAATATAATAAATAATAAATAAAAACACCAAACTGCAAGCTTTCAAGTGAAATTAGTTTCACTACTTATCATACATATGAGTACCAAGAGCTCATTGCCTTTAGAACAATCAGATTTATTTTGGATGATCCAGATTTACAGCTTTTTACTTTTATTTTTTTAAAAAAAATATTTTAGTGATATAGAGTCTAAAATAGATAATAATCATTTTTTATAAAATGTACTTAAAAAATACTTGTTGAAAAGTTGTAAATCTGAACAATGAAAATTAGATCCAACCTGTCCAAAGGTGATGAGTTTTTGGTGTTCACATGTACAGTGAGCATTGAAATTGATTCCCTTTTAAGTTAGGTTAAGTGTAATATATTATAATACATTTTTTTTTACATTTTAATTTTATATTGTCCAGATTGTGTAACATGAACCTTTGAAGTGTTACAGCTCGTTTTCGTAGATTTGAAAAATGCACACAGAGAATTAATTGATCGCACATTGTTATAAAGAGAAAAAAGAAAAAAGCCATGTTAAATATTCAGCTGCCATCTCTTCTCAGTGCTTCAAAGACATGAGTTAATCACATCACAGGCCATAGTGAGATATAAAATGATTTTACATGTCATACTACTTTTTTGAGGCTGGCTGATAAAAATATTTCCTGCTCATGGTTTTGTTTTTTATTAAACCAAAAATAAAAATAAAAATCCCAGCCCCCTCCCCCAATATTAAAAAAAAAAAAACACACACACAGTAATTTCCCATCTCACGAGCCATGAACTTCATTTGACCCTACTATCTCACTGGTCTTGCTTTCACAAGCCCGTCTCTCTCAAGCAAAAGAGTTGGACTGTAATGATCTCTTTGCCGTGTGTGCATAGCTTCCTCCAACCATGGATTTGAGAAATCTCAATCTACTAATTATAGCTAAGCTATTATGAGAATTTACATCCAGAAATTGATTCACTCAACTATCGTACAAGACCTTGCAAAAGAGAGAGATAACCATAAAGAGTGGGATCCGTGTGAATGGATTTAATAATATAGAGAGAATCATATTTAAGAACCGGAAAATAACCGCAGACAAGGACTAACAAGTTCTATTACCAAAAAAAAAAAAAAACAAGTCCACACTCTCATTTAAACAACAATACATTTTGTATTGGTCCTTCTCTGTGAATAGTCTGTTTGAGTGGTCCTTGGATGTAATTTCCCCTTTAATATATCTCACCGTCCAAAACCATCACTCAGCCTTCAAAAGAACAATAATCCTTCTGTCATTACCCAACACAATCTATACAATAAACACCAGTCATATTCTACAGTGTCAACTGAGTGCACCGAATGGAAGCCCCGTGACAATGAAATGGTTTTTATTCTGCTGGTTTGCATTCATCAACAGGTTTGCCTTAGATTTCTCCCCGGTGCTCATTTGGCTGAGTGTTTTGTTGAGGAACAAGTTGACCAACCTTCACATATTTTTCAATGAATTTATATTCCCAATCCTCTAAAATTACAAGCTCTTCCTCGCTCAAACCTTCAAGATTCCCATTGATATCCTCCGGTTTAAAAGAGAGGAGGGCAAGGGCTCTGCTGCATTCCTTTCCGGCAAACATAGCGTACGGTCCACCAGGTCCATAGAAATTCCTGCATATGACCATGCAAAAAATTAATGATCATACAACATGGTTTGGAAATATCTTCAAATGAATCTAGAAGCATTACAAAACAAACCATGACAGACTCTTACAAGCACACCATAAACCGAAGTACATGGACTACTTTAATTCAAAAGTCATACACACAGACAGAAAGAAAGAAAAGAACGCCAAAACGTCACCTTAGTGCAAACTCAGATCATGCAAGCAGATAGCGACTGGTGGCTAACATCATTTCAAAGATTTAACGAGACCATCTTCCCCGTAGAACTTGTGATTTAGTCACCATGCTCTGAGTTTGCTCTTTTTCTTTAATACGATAGTTAACTGTAATTAAATTCATATGTTCGGTGCCTAATGCCGTAATCTCATGAGATTATACAAATCAAATGAACTGGAAAAATAATTTTGTCCCATATTTTCAGAGGACTAGAATAGACAAGAACTTAGGATAATCATCAAGCTGAACAAAGGGTCAATAGCTGCCCTCTGCCCATTTTCATTTTGTCAAGCATACACTAGTTCAAGATTGTATTAGCAGTTAACTGGCATGCCAAATTATACATTTATCTGCTATCCTTAAGAGATGCAAGCACGAAGCTGAGTTTGATTGACAAGCCACTGTCGTAGTTGCATTTAGAGCTTAAAATGATTTATTATGGTGTTAAATTGGGAAAAATCATGCATTATTGCCTCATTTGTTGTTTATATATATATATATATATATATGGAAATCAGAAAAAAGAAGATAAAATAAAGAAAAATTGGGCTTAACATAAGGCAAAACGGACTGAGAGCCCAAATCAGGACCACAGTTCGCGGATCAGGCCCAAAGAAACTATCACCGCTTGCGGATATAGCCAGTTGGAAGAGGATCACCGCGAATGGTAGATATAGCCAAAGAAACTATCACCGTCCACCGTCGGAGGCTTGAAGAAAATTCTACCATTCGCGGATGAACGAGGCTGAAGGAGACTGACGCCTCCGGTTGAAACCGGTCGTGGAACAAGAATATCCAATTCTGAACCGTTTGTAGTCGAGAGACAAAGAATGTGTTTGCCCGTTCGCGGATGGGGACCAGGGCGAGAAAGCTTGTTCATGTCTTGCCCGCACACGGATGACAATGGTGAAGGCCACGACCGTCTACGGTTGAGACCAGAAACACATGGCAAACATCAGTTAAAACGCTGAATGAATTGTAGGGCATTTTTAATGAAGGGATACGAGATTTTAGGTGGAGAACTCTCTGCTAGGGTGTGAAAACACTTAAAATGCGAGCTAGGGCTCCTTATTTGGGGATCTGGTCACACATAAGTGCTGGAGATGGCTGAAGATGGAGTTGAAGAGCACATGTTCTGATCTGGGAGGTGAACCTCTCTTCCCTTTTTCTTCTTTTCATCTAATGTTGTTTATGAACATGGGACTGAGTTTATGATGTTTTATTATTTCGAAACCTCCAATCAGGGTAGAAAGTATCCTGACTAGGATGAGCTTTCTCTTTTCGATTCCTGTTGTTCTTAGTTGACTCATTTACAGCTTTTAATGCAATTATTTCTGTTTTCCTTATTATTATTCTGGATTGTTTGGTTAGCCACCTTGCCTTTTGCCTATGGATTTGCTCGATTCACTATAAGGAGAAGAGTGAATCTAGACCTAGGGGAACATACATGAATAACTGGGTTAGGGACAATCTAAGTGTTTATGGTGACTTTGGTCGTGGCATAATGGATTTAATTAGAGATTTCGGATATAGCAGAAGCTAATTCATCTCTAGTTAAACGCTCCTTAATCTACTAGGGGGTAATTAAGATAATTTGGTAATGATCTCATTTTAGTTGCTCAGGAATTTCATTTGAGCATGAGTAAGGGAATCCCGATAAGTAAACCCCGACTCCTGGCGCTTGTTGACGGATTTGATCGCCATTTATTTATTGCTTCTTGGTTTTAATCATTGTTTCAAATAATTTGCTCAATATGATTCTCTCTTAATTATTGTTTGGTTTGTTAAACAACAAATATCACTGTTTTCCTTTGGTTCAACTCTTGCAATACTCCCAAGGTCTTCTAACTTCATCGATTTCATGCACTTGCAGGAACGATCACTGATCTAGATCCCGCAATGGAAGAAAATAAGAGTAATTGGCATACGCTAATAACCTTGTTCAATTCGTTGGCTTTTGATAATCACAAAGACACCCATTAGTCATTCAAGTTCTTACATATTTTGCTTCATTTTCCCATCCACTAGGCAAGCAACAACGAAATCAAAGAATTACACGGCTATCGACCACCCAGAAAGCGAGCTTGGTTTCGTATTCAAGCTTGGTCAATTTGTAGCTTGTTAGCTATCGCAATCTCAGTCATGTTCGTAAAACTTTCATCCACTAGTCAAACAGTCACTGGTAAAACTAAAGTCCAACCATCAAGTTGGGGGAGTAAAAAGGAGATTGGAAGTACCTGCCAGCAGACACGTCGTAGATCTGGCTTCTGATTGACACTAAGATAGGTTTATTGGGGTCGGAGCCATTATAGGTTCGCAATTCCTGATCAGTCATTTCTCCCATTTGGACCGGTTCAGGAGCGTCGACGTTCACGCCATCCAACCCAATATTGTTTGGAGCGGTGATGGTTGGGGGCTTATTGTAATCTTCAGGAGAAACAAACATCCCGCAGACCGTTTGGTACACCATAACCATCATAACCAGAATGGTAAAGAAGGCCGTAGGAGATAGGCCTGTGTAGCACGTTATCGCCTCCATTACCGTCGAGTGTACGCCCATTTGTCAGATTGCTAAAGCTCTAGGTTACTCTGTGACTGTGTGAAGGAGCCTTGGGGAACGAGAAGTATGGGAAATCGGAATTGAAGCTGGCGATGGAGAAGAAGAGACGAGAGTTCTCGGCTTCTCGGAATAGAAGCAGCTAGGGGAAGAAAGGGCCGACGACACCTAATTTGCCCCACCTACCCACCACCCATTTGACGGTTGACATTCCGTGAGCATGAAACAAGTCATCCAATGGCTTATGGTTTATGTTAACCAAAATTTATATTTTTACAATTTTTAACAATTAAAAAGTTGGAAAAACTATTCATAAACATCAAGTTTAGAAAATGTTTATTTTTACTGTAAATTAAGTTCAAGTATTTAACCTCTATGCTTAAAAAATGTATAAGTGTTTGTTGAAACATTCAACACTTGCACAGTCGTATATTGATATATTTTTATTTGTATTTTGAAATTGTGGAAGACTGGGTATATTTTTCACATCTATGTGGGGATATTATTTCTCTAACTTTATTGTTTATGTAAACATATTAGTATTCATAATTAATTGTCATTGTTAATTTTATAATTTGACAAGTTTAGCTAGAATTTTAAGAAATCAAATTCACGTTTTAAACTGGAGGGTTAGAAAATTTATAATGACTCAATGTGAATATATTATCTCATTTACACTTTATTCCCAGTTTATGAAAGAAACTTATCAAATCCTTAAACTTTTAGATCTCCAAATTTGGTAGGCAAAAAAAAAACTCCAAATTTGCAATTGATTTTGATTGATTGTTAATAAGTAAAATTAGTGAAATCATGAGTTGAATTAAAAGGATTAATGAATTTCTTTTTTAAAAAAATACTCATAGATATTTTCCTATTAAAAAGGCAATCCTATTCGTATGGTCAAGTATTAAACATATATACTTATGTAACATCCAAAGATTTATTGATAAAATATTCACAATAATTTTACAAAAATTAAACCTTCCCACCTTATTTTCATAGATATTTTATTTTCAAACAAAAAAAAAAAAGATCCCAAAAATAACCATAAATGGGCTTAGGACATTTGATGATTAGAAGCCCTACCAATAGCCCAATACAAGCTCATAAATTTCTATAATGATGTCTAAAAAAAATCTCATCCTAAATTAAATATAAGTACTAAATTAAAGAGGGATTAGTCGAAGATTGTCAATTCAACGGTCTGTTCCAAAAGTCAAGTTTCATAATCATATTTCAAAACATGCAACTTGGATGTATGATCATCAATTATTCAAATTAATTGAGTTGTACAAATCAATCCTAGGCCATGGCAACAAAAACATTAGGGAACGTGTGTCAAATCGAGAGATAATGAGCTGATAAGTTATGTCTTTGGTGCCTTTCCTATAATATTTTTGAATTGCTTGTCTAAAAATGATAAGAGATAACATAAGATCTAGCATCTTAGTAATGATTGATTACTTCTAGCATACACCGACATATCAATTAAAAATCAATTTACAAACTATGTTTAGATATATATACTTATTTTTCCAAAATCCTTTCACAAATCACTTCTCGTACAAAAAAATGTTAATATTCTATAATCAAATCAATTCACATGAAATAACAATTAAATTAAGTGATGTTTATCTTGACTATATCCTTGTATCTCACCTCTTGCACTATATTACCGCTAACTAAAGCCTAAATTGTAGATATGTCCAGTCAAATGTGCATTATCAAGTGCCAACAAAGCAAGGCTCCTTTCTTTTAAAGGACATGCCCATCATTCCAATATCTTAACTAGAGTAATAGAAATTATAATAAATGCCAACCACTAAGTGCTTAGTAAAAGCATATCACATGACAGCAATTGTACATTGACCATCTTATTTTCTCCTTGCATTGCATTCTAAAAGTTAAGTTTAAAAAAAACACAAGCATGCTTAAAAAGAACAAACCATGTCCATATTCGATTCTCAAAACCAACAAGCATGCTTAAAAGAATTAAACCACAATCGTAAATCATTTCAACAATTAAATCACCACCCAACACAGACTAACATGCTTAAAAGAAATGAAATAATTATAAATCAATTCAAATACCATACAAAACATTCTAGATAGTTCATAACATATACTTCCAGTTCGAAAATCAATCAGACAAACCCTCAATGGGCACAATGTTTTATACATGCACGTTAATAAAAAGTAGACATGTCAACATAAGAAAGAATAATCAAATGTTATCTCTTTTACGAAGTAAAAAACAACCATAAGTAAGTATGAGACAAATACCAGCAATCAACAATTAATATATACAATTAAAGAATCAAATTGAAACCTTACATAAAGTAAAAAGTAAAGAACTAAAAATACACTTTAGTCGTATAAATAACAATGTTACACATTAATGCAACTATAATCAATGCATTAATCCACTATACTATTCTAAAGTTTTTTATTTTATCAACCAGGCTCGAACATTATTTTAGTCCTACTTTTACCGATTCTCAATCAAAAAAAAAAAAAAACTCAATCAAGTCACTCCCAATCAACAAAACCTTCATCTATGTTCAAATCTTCCATGCCCTTCAGTTTCCTAATTTTCAGTTCAATATCAATATCAATTCTCCTAAATCTCTCCATATTAACAATGTGCCAAAACATTCAAATCCATGTCTCACTTCCAATAGTTATTTCTTAACTATAAGATCATGATTTAACCAATAAAACTCCCGCAACTATCAAATTCTGTGATTATTCTTTTAAAATTTCAATCCAATACTGTCAAATGAATTTTACAATTTTAAACATCCCGTGATTTTTTCTTCATTATCAAATCACTTTTAAAATCCACTAAAAGCTTACAAGCTCAATTTTCACAATTATGTCAAAAGACCTTTTTTTTTGAGTAAAAATTTCGAGTGCACAACAGTAACTCAAATTAAATTCAATTATCATAAAAATTTAAATATAACAGTCTTATCACACAAAGTTCTTAACCGAACTAATTCTTTTAGCCAAACAATATCTAGATTACTCATACTGAAAGTACATAAAAAATTCACATTAATTCATCTATAATTAGAAAAACCACTCAAATTTATTATTTGATTGCATAATCAATTTTTAACAAGTTTTTCTAAGTTGTCCGTGACTAATTGTTGATGTTTCAAGTAATAATTAACTCGAAAATTAGGAATCGCTCTTTTTATACCCAAAGTTCAATTTCAACATAGCTAGAGGGAAAAATTCAACCTTATTTATCAAATTAAACGGATTACATTGAAATATTCACTTACCTTAACAATCTTATTATTCTTGATTAGTGAAACTCAATGCTTGCTTTGAACTCTAATATTTAAACCAGCTCTGCTTCCCTTTAAATTGGCCCCTGCTTCTCCAATTATTCACATCGTCAGAAAGTTCTCATCACATATGATAATTTTTGTGTGGAAAGTTTTGTGATTTGGGGAGGTTACGGTACAAAACGGAGCTCAACAGTTTTCTAAAACTCCATTAATGGAGCATGGAAGCTGCGCCTCTCTCACTTTGTAGAAGCACATGATGAAGACCAAGGGGGTAATGTAGTGCCATTATTATTATTAGATTGAGTAATATTATGTATTAGCGTGTGTTTTAAATAGGTGCGGGCCAATTTATTTATTTTTTCCCTTTCTCATACTTTTTTTTATTTTTGTTCTTAATTTACCAAAATAGTTTCCATTTAATCCAAATATTATTTATCATGACTTAATACATGTTTTAAATTTTTCATAATTTTATTGTCCATAAAGAATTTCATAATTTTCTAAAGCTTTCATAAAATTTAAATGAGTAAACTAAATTTCTATATCTTTCTCATATATAACTTTGTTATAAATTTAAATAATTATAACCCTACAAGAGGAAAAATAAGGCTTATTTGACAACCTCTTTTGAAAATAGTTTTATGTTATCTATAATCAACAAAAAAAAAAAAACATTCAATAATGTAACATCTTGATTTTTAGATAGTAAAAAAAGTGTGAAATCTAAGTTTTATTGAGGATAAAATAATAATAATAATAATAATAATAATAATAATAGAAATTTATATTATTTAAGATTATTTAGAAATAATAATGTAGACAGGTATTTAATTATGAATTAAAAATTTAAATTTAAAATTACATAAAAAATATTTAGTTAAGATATAATTTTAATATTTAAAATATATAAATGATTGTGTATGTGTAGGTAACAAAGAGGGGAGAGAGAGAGGGTGGAAGGCTTTTTTAAGTCAATTAGATGTGAAAAAAAAAAGATTCTTTAAATATAAATTCGCTGGGACGCACGTAAGAAAACAAAGAAGTGGCTGAGATGTAATTTAAAAAAAATTATAATTAATGACCTAAGAATTTGAATAATTAAATTCAAACTTATAATCTTTTTTTAATAAAATTAAATTTAATTATTTAAACTCTTGGGTCATTAATTATAATTTTTTTAAAATTACGTCTTAGCCACTTCTTTGCCTCTTGATGCGCCTTCCAGCTTTCTCTTCCTACATTTAACCAATGTGAGACCTAAAAGAAGCCTTTCATCTCTTTTTTTTTTTTGTTGCCTACAAGCACACACACAATTATTTATATATTTTAAATATTAAAATTATATCTCAACAAAATATTTTTTATATAATTTAAAATTTAAATTTTTAATTGATAATTAAATGTCTAATCATATTAGTATTTTTGAATAACTTCAAATAATATAAATTATTATTTTATCCTCAATAAAACTTAAATTTTATACTTTCTTTGTTATCTAAAAATCAAGATGTTATAAGCAACGTGTTTTTAAAAATATTTTAAAAAATAAAAAATAAAATATTGTTTTAAAGAATAAAAAAATGAAAACATCATTTAAATGTTACAGAATTATTTTTCTGAAAAATCAAGGGAACGAAAAATTACTTATTTTTATTACTTTTTATTTTGAAAACATGATTTATAAAATATCAGTTATCAAAATGATAAAATAAGAATAATTTTAAACAGGCCTATAATTTATGTGATTTCATTTAATCCTACTTAAACATGTCAACTTGCTCCTTTTTTTAAAAAAAAAACACGGCTTATTATTGTGTACTTGAAATTTAACTCACTTTGGATAATTTCTCTTTAAATATTTATTTAATAATTTTTAATTACTAAAAAATAATCTTGTTAAATTCAAATTATTATTAATAAATATTTAACACCTTCAATTTATTCAATAAATTAACTTCAAGTGTCATTTAAATTTTTAAAATTAAGGTTGAAATGTTACAACCTCTAGGGTTTTGTTTTGGGATTATTATTTTAAAAAATAAAGATAATAAAAAAACACTTATTTTTATTAATATTATATTATCAAAATAAATGTTATAAAATATCAGTTCTTAAAATAATAAAACAAAAGCAATTTTAAATAGATCCATAATTTATATGATTTCATTTAATTTTACTTAAACATGTCAATTTCTCCCTTTTAAAAAAAATCATCGCTCAGTGCTATGTGCTTAAAAGTTAACTTATTTTGGATAATTTTTTCTTTAAATAATTATTTAATAATTTTTAATTACTAAAAAAATAATCTTGTTAAATTCAAATTAATATTAATAAATATTTATTATCTTCAATTTATTTAATAAATTAATTTCTAATGTCATTTAAAATTTTAAAAATAAGGCTGCAATGTTGCAACCTCTCTCTGAAAGATTTGAATTTTGATTTGTTATGTTACATGAAACTAATTCTTTTCATTAGACTTAATTCCCATTAATTTAATGGGTTCATTTTAACTTATAATAAGAAAGTTGTTTGTAAACTAACTTTATTACATGTACATAATTCTCCACCCTTATGTGACCAAATGTGCTTGGTGGCTTAGTTAATCATCATTATTTTGATGAGTCTGAAGGTTATGAGTAGAGTTGGGAATTCAAGAGGGCGGGGTTTATTCAAGTGTGACCTGAATAAGCTTGACTTCCTGAAAAGATGAATAGCTAAGCCCGACCTGAATTTCTTCAGGCTTTAAGAGCAAATCGAATACCTAAATTTTATTTTTAAAATTATTTTTGATTAATTTTTTTACTTTTAAATTAATCATTTTATTCTATAAAAAATATAAAATATATTTTTCAATACTTAAATGATGTATGGAACTCAAATATATGATTTTAGTATAAAATGACCTAAAATTTGAATAATTAATTAATATTTATTATATTTTATATGATTTTTAAAATTAAAATTTTTTTTGGTGTTCAGGCCAAGCTCGAACCCGATCAAGCTTAGTTTGAATAGGCTCGAACATACAAAATTATTTTTTTAAGGCCAATCCTAAATTTTTGTAGGCAGGTTCGAATTAATCCATCAAGTTTGGCCGAATTCTTGGCTATGGTTATGAGTTTATAATCCATTGGCTACCTTGGTGGGGATGGCCTAATTTTTTTCAAAATAAAAATAAAAATAAATTAAATTAACCTTCTCCTCATAATAAGTAGAGCCATTAATTCAGATAAGTCAAGCTTTTTTAGATTAAATTTAAAATATCTAAATATATAAAAAAGTTCATATAGCTAAGATTGACTCCAACACCTTAGGCTTTCGGGCTAGCCCGAATATCCTAATTGTTATACTTTATTTTGTTTTTTAGATAATTTCAATTTTTATTTAAGAAATTAATATTTTTTTCATTTTTATTTTATTTTAATATTAGTTTATTATTAATAAATAAAGAATTCAGGTATTCGAGATAAGTTCATTCGGGTTTGGCTTAGCTCGAATTTCTCTAAACTTATTTTAGCTGCTCAAATAAGTTAGGAATAAATAAAATTTTTAAACTTTCAAGGCCAATCTTAAATTTTTTTAAATTTATAAATTACATATCTAATAATAAGCATAGTAAAATCCAACATTGCATGATACATATAACACATGTGAGAATTACCACACTTTTTACAAAAATTAATAAACTTTCAGTCTCATTAATTGGATTACCGTTTTCTTTTATAAGCAAGTGCCTACTTCAATTTCCTATATTTTTATTTCATTGTTGTTTTTGTCTACAATGCTAGTTCCTGTAATTAAAAGTACGCTTTAGGATCATGAGTTGGCATCGATGAAGTAGATTTTGTTGGCATGCACTTAACTTTGTCAACACATTTGCTGATGCATGCTTAATTTTGCATTCGACTCCCACATTTTGTTTAAATCAAATATAAAAGAAATACTTTTCCTATTTAAATTTAATTTTTAATTATACCTAGTCCATTTTATTTTCACATGATCAGCCTATTTTTACCATGTTAACAAATGAGCTAGCAGAGTCACATCAAAATTGCTTTCGGTAATATTGTCTCATGATATTAATGTACATTTTTAAAACTATAGAAATTAATATTAGATATTTACCAAGATGTAGAGATTGAGAATAATGAGATAAATCTATAGGAAGTAAGAACAGAATACAATAACTTAGTGTTATGTTTTCCTTTATGTTAAGCTCTTATGCAATCCTTGGACACGATTTTAATGGCATTGGCAAATGGGCACTGAAGAAAGCTATTAATAAACATACTTGCAAACATTTCGAGTTGGTATGATTAATTATCATTATTCACGACGCAGGTGTCACGACGACGAAGGGCAGCCAGCCACCTGCTCTTCCTGGTCAAGATCAATCCCGCTGGGGCGCTTCCCCTGTGACAGGATGCACGCCAGTTCAAGCATGAACACTTGCCACGATTGTTCCTTGTCCCAAAATGTGACGTTGATCTAACGGCTAGACTCGCCCTTCTCGCTCTCATGCGGTTTCGGAACTTCGAAGGAACATATTATATCAGGCAACACGATGTGCCTTATTTTCGCGTTTAACCGACGTATATTCCAAGGCGTATGTCCTCATGATTCTCCCCAATAGGTAAGAGTTTCCCTGCCTTATTTTCAATATCATTATCGTTCGCCCTGACAATTCTTCTGGGCGATTTTGCATATTCCGATGCTTACTCTGCCTCCTCCCTTCTGGTTGCCTTTTCTTTCCGTCTTATTCACTCGTCACAGTCTGTTAGCTTTGCGTCTCCCTGAGAAACCCATGGAGCGATTGGTCTGATTTTCATCTCGTTGCCCCGCGACTTGCGTACAGTAATCACCCTGGTTCTCACAATCGTGAAGCGAAATGAATATATCTTAATAAGGACAAGGTAAGGATTGCATGGGGTCATAGGATTTTTTCGAGTTCTGAAGAATTGATGCTCCTGAACTGTTCGTATGGGTGTGTCAATGTTTATGTTTATGATTGATGATTGATGTGATTATCTGGCAGCAATAACTGGCCACTAGCCATTTAAATCCGTGTATCTTTTGTTGTTGATCTATCGATCTTATCTATGCCATATAAATCCGTGCGTATTCATGATTATACCTTCTGAGCTACGGTCTGTGGGTCAGTGCCATAACCAGGTAGACGCCAGCAATGTCAAAGGAAAAAAGGCGTATTCTTCCTGTTAGACCAAAGGGAAGGGATGAGCCCTGCCTCAATAGGTCCGTTTAACCCTGCAAATCGGTAACCCGTCTATAAGCCGGTAATTCACCTGCAAAAGTGACCTGAAATCGTGTGGATCATTACTCGTCATCAAACATCAGATGCAAAATTGTCTGTATGAAATCATAGCAATCTCACCCTGAGTTTTTCCCAACTTGGGTTGGAATTTGAGCGGATTCATTAAACTACATATCACGCACATATTTTTTTTTTTTGGCCTAAAGTATAGTATCCTGTTCGTTGACCATTGGTGGGAAATTGTCTGTATGAAATCATAGCAATCTCACGCTGAGTTTTTCCCAACTTGGGTTGGAATTTGAGCAGATTCATTAAACTACTTAACTACATATCAGGCACATATTTTTTTTTTTTGGCCTAAAGTGTAGGATCCTGTTCGTGGGACCATTGGTGGGACCCTTCAAATTTGTTTAGTTAAAGAGAGATCAGGTGACGGGGAAAACAATTTTCACCCTTAGTTTATGCTTTCTGGGCTGGGTGAGTTCGTTATGTGATTTGTCGTCCTCAATGCGTGGAAGTCTGGCAGGCCACATGTCTTTTTGTAATCGCAATGTTTGTGGGATGCATTAATCTAAAGGAGGGGAAAAAGCTGCAATGACATATGACTTAATGGTGGATTGATGTGCTGGTTTGTGATCAACTGTCCCGAAATATTTTTTGTGAATGTAATCAGTCAATTTTACCATGCTTTGCCAAAATGACAAACTTGGCAGTTTTGGGTTCAAATGTAGCTCTGTTATACCATTCAAGTTGAAGAAGTCTATAAAGCAAGCATTAGTTGATGTAAACATGAATTTCTTTCAACATACTTCTTTTTTTGGGTTTTTTTAAACATTTTCGTCGATGGAATTACCTACTTGACTATTATTTCTTTTCTGGTTGCCCTTGTTCGTGATTTTCATTGCGTAAAGAAATTACTGATGCAATTGTAAATTAGTTAGTTAAGGGATTCATGTACTCGCAGTAAGCATCTGGGACTAAGGCTTTTTGTTGGCCCAGTGGATTCAGGCTGTGTTAGGTTGATAGGAATCCAAAAAGATGGCATCCATGAAACTGAAAGGAGGTGCAACAGAAAAAGCTTTGTCTCCTGAAGAGCAGCAGGCCAAGGTAGCACATTTGATAACTTCTAGCTAGCTAAGAGGTTCTGCTAAGGTAGATATTAGCATTTTAGGGGAATATTTTGTTCTAGGATAATTCATTTTTTTCCTCTCTCACAGATTGGTGAAATCAGAAAGATCATTGGTCCAATTACCGACAAGTTCCCAGCATTGTTTTCAGATGCATCAATACAAAGGTTCCTCAGAGCACGAAACTGGAATGTGAAAAAAAGTGCAAAAATGATGAAAGAAACCTTGAAGTGGAGGGTGGAATACAAGCCAGAGAAAATTCGATGGGTAAGTATAACCATAATTTCTATTTGATTCCTTCGTTTGAAATAATTGTTGGTTAATCCTGAAGAGTATAAGAATTGGTGGTTCTCTGCGTTGTAATGCAATAATACAAATATCATCTTGCATGCATAAAGCTCACCTAATAGAAGAATACAAGTGCGTGACAGCAAAACCCACCCACAACAACCACCCCCCCCCCCAAAAAAAAAAGAAAAAAAAAGAAAAGAAAAGACGGGGTCAACTTAAGTGTGACCAATGTGTCACTGGGACTCTCTAAAGCAGTGGAAGCCATATAAATTAGGACGTTCTATCAGACTAGGTCTCTCTTCGTGGCTTATTTTTGATGAGCTTCATTTTTATCTTTTTAACCCAGTTATAGACAAGACTGCACTTTATAGTTGAGGCTCTAAAATATCGTGGCAAGTTACATTCTATCGAATATCTATGTGCAACTGAAAAAACTAATTTCCATTTGTGCAATTAGGATGATGTGTCATGTGAAGCTAAGACTGGAAGGTTATATAGAGCTGACTTTTTGGATAAGCAAGGGCGGATTGTTCTTGTGATGAGAGCAGGTGTTCAGGTAATTGATATAGCTTGATGAGAATTTACAAAACCCAGTGGCTGCTTTTTTTTTGGCGTCAGTATTATCTAAAGTCCTTCATTATAAAGTTCTTGTGGAGTTTGGAGTGGGCAATAAGTTTGGAGAGAGTAATATGGAGGGTAGGAATGTGTATGTGGTTAACATAGTCTTTTTTTCTTCTTCTTCTTTCTCCTCTCTCCAAATTTTACAAGAACTTGTAATGAAAACTTTACGGGATTTTTCCTTCGTTTTTTATTATTATGACTGACTATTTTATTTTTGGATGTCATTGTTAATATAATTAATATTTCATTTCTTTAATTGAGGCCCTTTTTCCAATGTCAGGGTACAAGCTCATCGGTGGAGCAGATCAAGTACTTGGTTTACTGTATGGAGAATGCCATATTAAATCTAAATTCCAATCAGCAACAGATGATTTGGCTTGTTGATTTTCAAGGGTGGAGCAAATCAAGCGTATCATTAAAGGTTACTAAGGAGACTGCTCAACTCCTTCAGAATCATTATCCTGAGAGATTGGGTCTAGCAATCCTATACAATCCCCCGAAATTATTTGAGTCCTTTTGGACGGTATGCATTCATAACTCCATAGCATCTCCCTTTCTTCTATCATTGTCTGGAAAAAAATTTTTGATTGGCAATTGCCCCTGCTAGCTGCTGATGCATTTTGTTTTTCATGAATCCTGGAAATATATTTTACCTGGCACGTGTTCACAACTCTTCATCATCAATATCATTTTCCTTTCCTTTCCTTTCCTTTTCCTTTTGTAATTTTGCTCTCAAGAGAGTGAATAGAATGTGTCTGACACTGTTCTTTAGTGTTTACAAGACAATTAAATACTTTTCAATGTGCGCAACTATTAAGATGAGTCAATGCATATTCAAGTGACGATGTATTATTGATTTAACTGTGCACAATTGCTATATGATTCTAATATAAGTAAGGTATAACTATATTTAACTGTATAAATAGTCCCATTCAAACTTAACTGACATCCTCTTAAATTCGTTCCTCTGAGTTAGATGTAATCGCTGGTGTAGTTGCGCACAGTTGACCGATGAAGTTTTGCCGCCTAATTTTCATGAATTAGCATTATGTGAGCGGGTATCATTTCCTTGGTCCAGTGTGGATTACACCGCTCTTAGAGACGAGAACTGAAGATTGAGACTAAACTAGATCGCGTATTCAGTGAATCATATACACCTATGTTTTTAATTCGAACTGACAAGATTTAAGGCCAAAGCAACCAAAAAAAAAAAAAAAATTGCTGACAAAGGAGATTTCCCATAAAGCAGGGCTTGAAAGTTGATTTTTTCCCCCAAAATTTTATGCTTGCTCTTCGTATTACGAGTTATCTGTGTTTTTATGCCTAACAAGTTTGCTTTATATTTGAAACAGATGGTGAAGCCTTTTCTTGAGCCCAAAACCCATAGAAAAGTGAGGTTCGTCTACTCTGAGAACCCGAAGAGTCGCAAGATAATGGAAGAAGTGTTTGACATGGACAAGTTGGAATCCCGTTTTGGCGGGAAAAGTTCCGCTGGATTCAACTATGAAGCTTATGCCCTGAAGCTGAGAGAAGATGACAAGAAGATGTCTAATTTTGATGACACTGGTTGTTCATCACCAACTATCCTGCAGTCGGCGATGGCTGAATCACTGCAGCCAGAGTCACCAGCTTCTGAAAATGGTTGTGAGGATGAATCATCTTGTGATGAAGCAAATGGCTTAAACGTGGAGAAAGAAGATGAAAGTATACAAGGCCAATCACCTTGTCCTCAAAAGGATGATGAGGTCGGTGGAGTGAAAAATGCTCTGGTAGGCTAAGCTAACTGGCAGAATATTACTCAGGGCAAGCTTCAAGGTCATTCCTTTTGGTCAAATTTGGAGGAATGAGATATTATTAGTCCAACAAAATTTGTTTCGTTGTTTCAAATGATTCACAAGGCTTCCAAGGTAACAAATAAGACAAGGGACATGGTAAAAACACATGGTAAAAACTGAACATGGAGCACCCAGGTGAGGATAAGTGAGAAGTAAGACATCCCTTGATGAGAGAAAATATGTTTCTCGAGATGGTATTTTCTTGTACCCTTGACAAGCATTCAAGTACATGGCCTTGTTAAGAAAGCATCATGCTTTTTTCTTGTAAATTAGTACAATAAGATTCTTAAATTAACATCAATTTTCTTTTCACGAGCCGAGAAAAAGAAAAAGGTTGCCAATCGATTGATGCCTTTTGGAGTCTAACTGGCAAGGTAGCTCATAAGCAAAAAGTAATTAGTGTAGCTCTGTAAGGCTGTTTTGTTACTTAAGACAGGGGGTTAACTTTGACACAAATAATAATGAAATCAAATAGTTGATAAATTAATATCCCTTCGGCCGCTTTTCGCTGGGGTATCTTTAGGCTTTTATTGAGTGGCGGGCCGTCCGAATTGATTTGGATGAAATGAGATGGGGACGTGTAAGACGGGATTTATAGATTTATATGTTCATTGTTCAGACCTCAAAGACCGGGGGCGAGGAACAATATTCAAATGTCGAACCACTGAATTGTGGAGCCAATACCAGTTATGGCATATCATAACGCCGTTTTAAATGATAAAGCTCACATTAGAACATTACTGCCGTTTCGTTGGTGAATCATTTTTTTAATTAATTAAATCGGCTGATATAATCCACTTGAGTGTATCAATCAATTATTGTGTGAAGGAAATACTGAATTGGAGAATTTATCATATGTCCTCAAGGGCGAAGGCAGAAGAATTTTACGGTGAACAAGTATTGCCACTTGGGATGGTAAGTAATAGTCCCATCCCATCCAATAATTTATGCAGACACGGCCAAAAAATAATTATGTACCCGGCAAGGCAAGATTTAAAAAAATAAAATAAAATAAAACTTATTCTTTAATTATGTGCTGCTGTTTTTCATAATATTTGATAGTACACTGGAGATTTTCATTATGATCATTCGAAAATTATTTTTCCTAAAACTAATGAGTTGTCCAGTAATTGAAAGTAATTGGCCTGGACTGTATGAAATAATCTATTTCCTAAAGAACGGGTATATATCCCTTTCACTGATTGAAACTAACGTCTGATAGATCCTATGGAAGTTCATGCTGGCCACCGTCCAAATGTCCAGTGTGACCTGGTCAATTAATGCAATAATAATTTGATGGTCTTTGTTTCAACAGACGAATTGGTCGTAACGTTATGCTCATCTCTCATGATAAATCAGCTTTATTTGTATAAATCATATCTTAATTCATTGTGTTGTGTTTCAAAAAAGCTTTGAGATTTTAAAATCTTGGACAGGAACAGGGTTCAAATTCTTAACTTACGGAGCAAATCATTTCATGTTTGGATTTTTCTGAACACAAAAAGTAGTTCAAAGTATCATTCACCTATATGAAATTACGAGACAGACCATCTTAACTTCAAATATTAAACTAAATAAATGTGATCGTGTGCAAAAATAAAAAAATAAAATAAAATAAAAGGTTGGAGACTTAATGAAATTGTCTGAAAAAATCTCCAAAAATTGAGCCTGTAGAGCGTCCGTGAACTCCTCCAACGCCCAGCCTGGAAGAAGCAATGCTGACACCAGCGCATGTTCTGAGGCGATGAATACAAAATAATAAAGAATAAATTGTCAGAAAATCGAGGAAGGAATGATCACCCCCAACATAGATCTTCATTCTTGTTACCTTTTTCAATAAACTTTTTATATTTAAAACTACGCCCTGAAAATTTTGATCACGAATTTAGTTTCACTTCACCATGCCTCTGTTTGGCTGTTTCCTTTCACTTTACGGAGGAAAATGAGGCTAAGCACTGTTAGTGGTTTAAGCTTCACGACAACGAGTTTGGCCCAAAAAAACTAAAAAAAGCTTCACACCAACAAGAAGGTGAAGAAACCAGAAAGTGTGACAGAGTAAGAAGAAAGGATTTTGATCTCGTAATGGAGGAGTCTGTTGGAGAGAAAAAGCGGAGAAGCAAGTGGGGTCCAGTGACTACAGGGGACAATTCAACTCCGTAAAAGAAAAGTTATTTGTAGAAAGGAATATAAAAAAAAAAATTAAAATCGAAATAGTTGAACTATCTTTCTCTCTCCCCCTCCCTCCCTTTTTCTCTTCTCTTCTTTTTGTGCCGCCCCACTCTCGTTCTGTCAAACGTCCAAACGCCCCTCTATATCATCATCACACATTCAGCTCCCCACAGCTCTTGTTGTCTATACTGAGCCCCATAAAAGGTAACAGAGAAGAAAGACCAACTAAAAGGAAAGAGTATTCTCATTACCTTTTTTGTTTGTTTGGTTTTGTTTTATCAATCCTACCTGCTGACCCATTCCTCTCCAGAATTTCCTCCCTTCCTCTTGAAGCTTATTTTATGATCAACTCATCATTTTCTTTCGATTGATCAATCCGATTCCGTGGGAAACTTCTATCGATTCAACATTCGAGGTTAGTTTCAGCTTCTTATTCTTCTTTTTTGGGTTTCTAAATTCTGTAATTTCTTGGTTAGACTTGGTATTTTGTTGGGGGACTGTTCATCATGGATCTTACATGAAACGCATTGCTCACTGGTTTACTTTTGTTTGTTTAATTTGAACAGATTTTTTGTTAAACCAAGGAGACAGATACTAAGAAAGAGAGGGAGATGGCATCAGCGATGGAAATTGGAGTCAAAATGAGAAAATTGCTGATTATTTCTATCAGAGCATGTCACAGATCAGTTTGTAATCATCCTTTCTTTGTGGGTGTCTTGGGATTTTTGATTTTTCTGTACAGATCCTTTCCTTTTTTATTTTCCATTTTGGTTTCTGCTTCCCCTGTTTTGGTCTGCACCGCTGTTCTGCTTGGGACCCTTCTTAGTTTTGGGCAGCCCAACACGCCTGAAATTGAAAAGGAAGAGGAAGTTGCTCATGACATTTCATCCTTTCAAACTGGGTTTTCAGGGGATGCCACTGTCATTGTTGAGAAAGATGAGAGCGTTGTTGTAAAAACACATGCAGAAAGTAGAGGTCTTATAGAAGAGAGGAGCGTTGATGAAGAAAGCTTGGGAGAAGATAAAGTTAGGAACATTGAGGAAAGTGGCATTTTAATTTCTTTCGCGCCACCAGTTGATGAAATCTCTCAAAATTTCCAGAATGAGAACAAAGCACGCGAGCAAATGGATAGACAACTCAGCAGTTTCGAGTTGGAAAATAAGAAGGAAGTTCATGAAGAGAACTCGAAGGCTGAAGGAGTTTCAAGCGATGACGATGCTATTGAGAAACAATACGTTTTTGTTCAAAAAGTAAACGATGATATTCTTGATGATGAAAATGAAGAAACTGTTGCAGAGCTGCTTCAAACTTCTAAGGGAGATCAGTTGGATTTTTCACCCAATAACTCCTGTAAACCAGTGGATAACAATGAAGAGGAAGAAGACTCTTTGGAATCAGGGTCTGATCGGGCAGAGAGCTCCTCACCTGATGCTTCCATGGCAGACATAATGCCAATGCTTGAGGAACTCTACCCACTGTTAGACCAGCAAGCCTCACGGACTGTACCATTGTCCCATGACGAATCTGTTGCTTCAGAGAAGTCTCAAAAGACTGATGATGGCAGTGTTCAATCAGATGAAGATACTGAGAACCGGGTTGGAGTGGAAGAAGATGGCGTTGATGATCATGACGATGAAGAGGAAGAAGGTGGCAAAGAGGATGAAAGTAAATCTGCAATTAAGTGGACCGAAGACGACCAAAAAAATCTCATGGATCTGGGGACTTCTGAGCTAGAGAGGAACCAGCGACTAGAGAATCTCATTGCAAGGAGAAGGGCACGGAAAATGATGACTGAGAAAAATCTAATCGATTTAGAAAGTTCTGATCTTCCCTTCAATGTTGCTCCCATCACAACAACAAGACGCAATCCCTTTGACCTACTTGATGATTCCTATGCTGCCTTGGGGTTACCACCCATTCCCGGTTCTGCTCCTTCTAATCTGCAGCCTAGACGAAACCCTTTTGATATTCCTTATGATCCAAATGAAGAAAAACCTGATCTCAAGGGAGACAGCTTTGAGCAGGAGTTCCTGACATTAAACCAGAAAGATACATTTTTCCGGAGGTACGAAAGTTTCAGCTTGAGGCCATCTGTATTAGGTGCAACCAAGCACGGGAAGCAAAATATGAGTTGGAAACCTATCTTCGTATCAGAGCAGCTGGCTTCAGAGGGAACTAGCTACCCCTCATTCCAGAGGCAGTTGAGCGAAGTAAGTGAAACGAATTTGAGTTCTGTTCAGGACACTGAATCAGTGAGTTCAAGTGAGCAGGGCGAGAGGAAGTTTAATGAACGAGATTTGTCTCAAGAAACAGAATTAATATCCAATATAGATCATGCTTCTGAATGTGTTGAAATTGGAAGTCAATCCTCTGGAGAAATTGATCCTGTGGAAAGGATACAAGTACTTGAGAGCAATGCTCACCATGATGAAGTTGAAATAGTGTTGGGTAGGGTGGAAAATCTTTCTGAGATGGAATTCTATTCTGAAACAGGAGAGATTGCAGCACATGATGAATTAAATATAGGTGAAATCGAATCCCATTTGGGTAGAGAAACAGTGGTTGGGGAGAGCAACAGCAGATCAAGCCAGTTTTCACTATCAGAAGTGACTGACAACATACCTGATGAGATGAGAATAATATCAGCAAGTTTACAGTCAGGACACAATAATCTTCTGGACCCTAGAGTTTCAACACAAGATTCTGTGGAGCAGGCGGACCTCCAGAATGTAATTGCTTGGGGCGGAAGACTATCAAACCACGGAACCTCTTTATGATTCTATCCCACCAACTGCTGGCAAGGTTGCGTCATTTCCTTCTGTATCTTCTGATTCAGCAACAGAGTTTAATGAGATGGCTTGGCCTCAAGCACCCGCAGAAATGATTGCTGACGTGACAGATAAAGATGATCATGTTCAAGAAGCCAATGCTTCCTATCATGAAGAAAATCACCCAGTAACTTCCCAACTACATGTGGAAGTAAATGATGAATGGCACTTTGGGGACTCTCAAGATATAAATCAGCATGATGTTAATGCAGAGCTGGCTTCAATTGGCCCGGGCTTTGTAGTACGTAATGATTCTTCAGCGCCTTTGCCCAACGTTATGAAGCCTGTTTCTGTGGATTCAAGTTTGTCTTCAGATGTTGGATCATTAAATGCAGAGACGAATACAGACTTGGTTCATGAACAGGAGCAAGCTGACCTCTTACATACTCATGAACAGGAGCAATCTGACCTCTTACACGCTGAATCTGAAGTTCAAAAAGACAGTTCAGATGATTCATCTTCTGGCTATCACATGGCTTCTGAGAAGTCACATTCATCACATAATGAATCTGTGGAGGAAGGTTCAGTGTGCTATGATGTCGAATCATCCAGATTTGACAATGGCAATATATTTGAGGGAGTCCAAGATGCAGATGAGAAGCCTGAGTTGATAGAATCTTATTCCCTGTATAAGTCTTCAAGTAATTTATCTATGTCGGTACTGCAGGACTTGCAACCTTCGCTGGAAGCTGAGCAAGTTCCAGTAGTTGATCCCAATCTTCCTTCTGAAGAAACTGGTCATATAGAAAAGAATTCACTGAATAAGGAAGACATGTTTGAGGTTGAACGGGATAAAGATGAGAAGCTGGATTTGATGGCTTCTCATTCCCAGCAAATATCTTCAAGTGATTCATCTGTGTATGTGCTACATGAGTTACAGCCTTCTCTGGCAGCTGATCAAGCTTCATTTGTTCATCCAATTATGCCTTCTGAGGAAACTGAACATGCGGAGGAAACTTCGCTAAAAAAGGAAGACATGGTTCCCGTTGAGCAGGATAAATTATTCTTGTCAAATTCTTTTGAGCAGGGTAACATTGATCTTCTTCGAGATTTGGATAAGGTGGTTCCTTCAAGTTCTGATTGTGTATATGTGCGATGTGAAGTAACATCCCCCTCTATCTTGGACTATGACCAGCCAAGCGCTGGTAATTCAGTAGCTGCACCATCTTTTAGTGATCATGATGAAAGTCAGGTTAGTCACATGCTAATTATGCTTACATTTCTCTGAATAGCTTTTCATTATTGAACTTAGTTTGCATTGATTCTTCATCGTAGTTCCCTGGGAAAGGTTCACCTTAAAAGCTTAGTTGTATGCGATTATTCTGTATCATCGTTAATGGGATACATAAGCTGCCCACTTCATATGCTTTGGCATATCATGCGGCATCCCTCTTTTTTAGCTTGTTACTGATGAGGGAGGATGACCCGTAATTTGTTAATCCTCCTCTTGCATTGAGCAGGAGAGGGGATGAACATTTTATGCAAATTTTGATGGATTTTGCGAATAAATGACAAGCAAATGAGATGTTTAGTGCTATGCAGATGAAATGTTAGTTTTATTGCATTGCTAGAGGAAGGATCTCTATTTGTTTCTTCTCAGAGTGTTTAAAATCATATTCATTGATCATTTCTTCTTTCTCATGCTTGATGTGCAGAAAACCTTGATCTTGCCTTTTTTTTTTTTTGTTTCATTCAATGTCCCCAGCTTTTCTGGCATTTAAAATAACTGAGAAAATTGATGATAAATTCTTTGAATTTCTGCAGAAATCTTATATTGTTCAGGTTGAATCCACAGAGACCAGAGACCAAGTTCTGCCACAGATCTCATCTGTCACTTCTTATTCATCTGACACTCCTGGATTCAAATCGCCAACTGACCAAGTGGATTTAAAAGTTGATAGCCCGGGAAAGTTGTCAATGAGATGCAAGAAATATTGAATTCCTCAGCAGAAGGCTACATGGCTCTGTCTACCGAAGAAAATATCAAAGAATCAGATGAATTAAAGGAAATTGATGAAGGATTCTTGTCAGAATTGGACACTGTTGGGGATTTTGGCATCAGCGATGCTGGTGTATCACTTTATCCCGACATATTGCCTGGGGAGACTACTGTTAGGGATGCTCGAGTTAGTTCATTTCCTAAAGAGACAGCAAAGTATGATGAGGAGATACCATTTCTTGAAGCAAGATCACTTGAAGATATTGACTGGGCTTTTAAGCAACTTAAAGAAGGAGTGGATGTTGAGAAGGCCATCCAACCAAGTTCAGTTAAGGATCAGCTTACTGGTGATGGTATGGAATCACTTCATCCTGATATATTGCCTGAGGGAATACTGTTGGGGATGCGCAAGTGTGTTCATTGCCCAAAGATACAACAGAGTCTGGTCAAGAGATCCCATTTCTTGAACCAAGATCACTTGAAGATATTGACTTGGCCTTTAAGCAACTTAAAGGAGGAGTGGATGTTGAGAAGGTCAAATTACCAGGTTCAATTAAGGATCAGCTTTCTGGTGATGCTGTGGTACCATTTCATCCTGATCTATTGCCTGTGGAGACTGTTGTTACGGATGCTCAAGTAAGTTCATTGCCCAAAGATACTACAGAGTTTGGCCAAGAGGTCCACTTGTTGAAGCAAGATCACTTGAAGATATTGACTTGGCATTCGAGCAACTTGAAGGAGTGTATGCTAAGAAGGTCAAACTACCAAGTGTGGAGAATCAGCTTTCCAGTGACAAATCTGAAGAACATGTTGCTAATTCAGACTTTCAAGTTGATGAAGCTAGATCTCAGGATGATGCCCGTATGAATCTAGAGGAAATATCAGAAGGTACTCAAAAGGAGCTGCCGAAGGTTTTAAACATGAAGGATGAACCAGCGGACATAGAAGTGAAAAAAGTTGGCTCGGCCAAGATGATCGAATCGTGTGATGTAGGATCTGATGCTGATGAACCGAACAAAACTTGTGGTTGAAACAGAACATGCTCCGACAAGCAGCTCCAACATTCACCATACGAGATCAAGTTCCGGTTCCAGTTCTAGTTCCACCTCAGGTGATTCTGATTGATGCTGAAATTACACTTATGATCAGGAAGAAGTGTTACGGCCCTTTTTTATCCCACTGCAGTGATGAGCGCTTGGGTTTCTGACTTCGTTACCATCATCCCTTGTCTAATGGTAGTCATATTTCTCTAATTTTTTTTTTTGGAAGGATTGGTTTCTTCAAGAATGAGTTTTGATTTGATTTCTTGAAATGTGGGGTTTCTTTTTGTTCAGTTTTCCCCGTTGAGTGTGAGCAGTCTTATTGAGGCATATAGACTGCCGCCTTATTTCCAACAGTTGCAATGTGTAAAAAAATTGCCGTACATTATACATTGATTTGTAGAAATGGTGTTTGGATTTTGTTTCTCTTCATATAACAGAATTTGTTTTTGTGGTCTTTGTTCTCTGTTGCTGTCATTTTTTTTCATCACTTAATAACAATAATATGCTGAGCTAGTGAGCTTAAAGATGAATTCTCTGGTAGATCTTTGCCAGTTGCCATAAATTGATACGGTTGAAGATGGAAAGTGATGGTAACTGTAAGTGTGTTCAATTTGATGATTCATTCTGCGAACGGACAGAAAGATTATTCTGCTATTTTTAAGTACCACCTCAATGCTGTTAAGAAGAGATGTTTAAATTTTTTTTTTTAATTGTCCAACTAATGTGATAACATTGAAAACATGTTTCTAATTATTTATTCCCTCCTATAAAAAAATAGTTAATTTTTTTTAAACTAATCTTATTTTTTCATTTTTACTTTTATTTAACAAAGTGTTTCATCCTAAAATAAATATAAAGTGATTTATTTAATGAGAATTTTTTTTTTAAAAAATAATGAATATACTTTGAGAGATTAAAAATACCTTACATTTTTTACATTTAAATTTTTAAAAATTGTTTTACATTTTTTAATGAGAGTATGTTAAGCTAATATCTGGTGACTAATTTTAAATTAAGGACATTTATATATATTATATGACATTTGATATACTGGTTAAGCTAGTGTTAAACATATACTCGGTCAGTATTAATAAATATTTTTGAAATTTAACAAACACTAAAATTATGTGATTGAAAAAATAATTACTGAATACGTTTACACCAATAATTATTAAAAACATATGAGCGGGCTTGGCCCTTATTTTTGAAAATGTGATATTGATAATTTATAAAGATTTTTTTTATGCACAAATATAATGACTTTTTTAATTTTTACTTAAAAAACAAGCCTTACAAAAAAAAATTCATGATACAAGTAAATCTTTCTTTTCTTTTTTCCTTTGATCAAAGATACAAGTAAATCTTTCTAGGCTTTACAGCTAAAAATAAAGTAAATTAATATTGTATCTTAATATATGTATTTGAATTTGAGCCAAACTTACCGCTTGTTGCTCTAATCCTCTTATGCTTTGCATGTTTTTATTTCACATTTTTTATTTTATTATTTTGAATTTGAATTTTTTTATACTATTAAAATAAAAAATTTTCAATATATTAATTTTAACATGAAATTTTAATCATAATATTCTTTCCAACTTCAATCCGCTTCATTTTATTCGTTCTTGTTTTCATTTTTCAAGAGAATTGCATTACATTTTATTCGTTCTTGTCTTCATTTTTCAAGAGAATTGCATTAGATAATATTATGAAAAATTGAAAACCTTCGGATAAAAAAATAAAGGAACGAAAATCCGATGACCATGTCGGCTTTTTAAGGAGAAGGAAAAAGAAAAAAAAAAAAAAAACTTCCCCAACCAGGACCAAAAAAAAAAAGAAAATAAAAAAAGAAGAGAAGATAATTATTGGGAAAATCAATAGGATCGCGAAGCAGAAGAGGAGACAGCGAAATATTCCGACTTGGGTTTGGCGTCGAAGCTGGGGCGATAGAAGAAGAAGAAAACAGTGAGAAAGAGTGTAGACCAGCAGAGAAGATCGTCCGAAGCAAAGATTCGTTTTTGACCTTGCTTGCTCGTTCTGCTGCTTCCCTAGTAAGTATCCTCGATCTACCTCTTCCCCCATTTTCATTTCGTTGGTGCGGCTTGTTGATCATGCGTCTTAGGTTTTCTCCTATGAAGTGAATGGAATTCGGTTTGGGTCAGCCTTTAATGAAATTTGTGTTAGGCTTCTTTCTCTTTGGAGCATGTTTCTTTACCAAAACGCTACGCTATGCCCAAGATAATTTCTTGTCGAAATCTTGAATTTGGGCGGCATTGGTCAGTCTCTCTTGTTCGAAATCCGGATTTTTCACATGTTACGCCGTGTCATAAAGAAGGCAGGAGAGCATATGCACACATGCACCCTTTTTTCTGTGTTGAAGGAATCCGCGGTGGGAACATGATGTATTTGACTGGAAAGTTCAAATTGCGCGAGCATGAGAGGGAAGTTAGAGTAACCCTGTTCTGTCATTTTCTGTTGAATTCTAGTTTGTGATTTGTCTGGCTTTTGGAAGTGTTTTTCTGCGTCCCCCCTTTACCTTTGCTTCCTCAAGTTCTTTGCTGTTTGCATTCCTGCTGTATCTGGTATTAGTATTTAGCTCTCTTTTTCAAGAAACTTTTCATTCGCCTAATAGGGGGGAAGCTGATTATTATAGTTGGGAGAGAGAAAGAATGATAGAATGCCTGGTGCAATGGTAATTCTATTAACATTCAATGAAATCCTTAACCACTTTTTAGTATTTTGTTTTTTTTTTTGGCACTTTTCATTTGCGATGAATTTATCTAGATTATTATAGTTGGGAGAAAGAAAGGATGAAATTCCTGCTTTATATGGTATTAGTGTTTAGCTCTCTTTTTCAAGAAACTTATCATTCCCCTGATAGGGGGAAAGCTGATTGTTATAGTTGGGAGAAAGAAAGAATGATAGAATGCCTGGTGCAATGGTAATTCTATTATCATCCCCCCCTTTTTTAATGGTTGTTTAAAGAACATTCAATGAAATTTTTAACCACTAGCAACAACAAGTCTTATCTCACTTGATGGGTTCGGTTATAGATTGTATGACGGCATTGTGCTTTATTATTTACTAAGCTTTTAAAAATCTTGTTAACTAAGAGATCTCGATTAATAACTTCCATAAGTTTTTTTTTAGGTCTTCTTCCACCCCTCTTAATGTGGCTTGAAATTATTCATTTCATTTTTTTTATTGGTGCCTCTCGCAGTCTTTTTTATATATTTTCAAACAATTTTCTACCATTTCCCTCTCAAAAGGTGCTACGCCTACTTTTTTTTCTCCTGTGTGCTCATTTCTATGTTTACATGTACATCCGCCCATCTATCTCAATATTCTCATTTCTTTTTAGTTTATTAGGTAACTTAAGGTCGCAAATAACTTCGTTAACTTTTCTCTAATTAAATCACATAGCTTATATCCTATGTGCAATATTCCCATCAATTTTCTCATCATGTTGAATAGTAGCTTCGAAGAAAATGCCCAAGTTATTTAATGTGATTTTACGGTCCAAGAAAATGCCTGATAACTGAAGGAAAAGTATATTAAATTTCTATTTATAAAAATAAAGGGGATATTCAGAATTGTACTAACTATAGAGAGATTAAACTCATGAGCCACACAATGAAATTGTGGGAGAAAGTAATTGAGCATAAGTTAAGATTGGAGACAAGTATTTTTGAGAATTAGTTTGATTTTATGTCAGGTAGATCAATTATAGAGGTGATTTATCTACTAAGAGGATTAATGAAAAAGTATCGTTGTAAAGATAGATATTTACACATGGTTTTTATTGATTTGAAAAAAACTTATGATTTTATATTAAGAGAAGTGCTTTGGAAAGCCTTGAAAAAGAAGGGAGCATGGATCGTTTATATTAAAGTTATACAAGATATATATGAGGGGGTAAAAACTAGTATAAGAATGTCTAGTGGTCAAACAAAGGACTTTCTTATAAAAATTGGACTATATCATGAATCATCTTTGAGTGCTTATCTGTTTAACTTGATCCTAAATATTTTGAAGGAACATATTCAAGGAAAAATTCTCAAATGTATACTCTTCGCGAGTGATATAGTTCTTATAGCAGAGATAAGAAAAGAGATTAATTGTAAATTTGAGTTATGAAGGAGGGCATTGGAGTTGAAATGTTTCTGTCTGAGTAAAAGTAAGACGGAATATTTATATTGTAAATTTGGTAAGAGACTAGTCGACAGTAATTTGAAAGTGAAATTGAGAGATCAAATTATACCTCAGTTGGAAAAGTTTAGATATTTGGGAGCTATTATTCAAAATGATGGCAAAATCAGTAAGAATATTTGACATAGGATTCAAGTTGGGTGATTTAATTGGAGAAAAGTTAAAAAAGTTATTTACGACTGTAAGGTGGTTATGAAATTTAAAGGAAAGTTTTGTTGTACTACTATCAGACCGGTTATGTTATATAATAGTAGATGCTTGGCTCTAATAGGTCAGCAAGAGCATAAAGTTGGAGTAGCAGAGATGAGAATGTTATGATGGATGTGCGAACATACATGTAGAGATAAAATTCGAAATGAGCACATACGCAAAAAAGTGAGGGTAGCACCTATTGAGGAAAAAATGATAAAAAATCATTTGAGATGGTTTGAGCATATACAAAGAAGACCACGGAAGGCATGAGTGAGAAGAGTGAAATATATAACATTGAGCCCTGTTAAGAGTCGTAGAGAAGGCCTAAGAGAACACTCTTGAAAGTTGTTGAACATGATCTCTTAATTAATAATATTTTTAAAAGTTTGGTAAATGATAGGGCACAATGATGTCTTGCAATCTATGTAGCCGATCTCACCTAGTGGGATAAAGGCTTGTTGTTGTTGAATAGTAGCTTCGAAATACTTAAACTTGTTCACTCAAGATATAATCTGATCTTCCAATTTCATTTCTAAATTACGATTGATTGACCTCGTACAAAATTATAATGCAAATATTCCATCTCATTTCTCCTCAGGTTGAAACATTTTGACTTTAATGTCCTCCTCTATGACTTAAGTTTACAGTTAAACTCTTTTGTCGCCGTAATAAAAACTATATCATTTGCAAAAAAGATGCATTTGAGGATTTCTTGTTAAATATGTTCAGTCAAAACATCTAGGATCATGCCAAATAAAGAAGGACTCAAAGATGATTTCTAATGTAGTCCAATCTTTATAAAAAAAGTCTTTTGTTTCTCTATCATAGGTTCTTATACTAGTTGTCCTCGCATACATATCTTGTATAGCTCTAATTACCTGTTCCAGATTATTTGATTTTCTTTCCTTGCTCGCAGCAATCGTATAAAATTTTCATTATCCATCCTTGTCCCAAAACCATTGTAAAAATCTTCAAATACTTTAAAACGAGCTTCACTTAGTTTTTTTTAGTTTCCTTCTTGGCCATACATTGCCTTTCACAATTTTCATTAGTATTGCACAAATGGATTGGTCTAAAATATTTCTTCTTATTTTTAACATTTTCTTGTACATTATCATTCCACCACTAGGACTCTTTTTTTATCGGATCAAAACCTTTTGATTCTTCCAAAATTTTTTTAGCAACCTTCCTTACCTTCTTAGATATATCTTTCCACAAGATGTTAGTACTTCCCTGAGACTCTTAGATTCCTTCGGCCAAACAAATTTTGCTTGAAAATTTCCCACTTCTCACCTTTTAGCTGCTGCTACCTAATCTTTGGAATTACCACTTGTTAACACTTGTGATTTTTACTTGTAATACGCACATCATGGACAAGGACCTTGTGTTGTATCGTTTTAGCATCTCTAGTAATCCCCTTACAATTTTTGCAGAGTTTTCTATCCATGTTTTCTACAAAAAAGAAATCAATCTATGGCCTTGAAGCTTCACTTTTGTAAGTAATGAGATATTCATCTCTCTTCTTGAAACAAGTGTTGGCGTGGCACTCTTGAAAATATACGCCGACAAGAAGCCAAGAATAGATTGTTCTTCATTATTTATCTCCTCAAAACTAAAACTGCCATGCACCTTCGTATGATTACCTGCCTCTCCCTCAACATGAACATTAAAGTCTCTTTTAATAAAGATCTTTCACTTTGTGGTATGCATTGAATTAACCCCTTAGTTGTCCCAAAACAATTCCTTAAAATTGGTTTCTGCCCCACTTTGAGGTGCAAGAGTGCTAATAATATTGACAGTCTCATGTTCAACAATCATTTTTAAGGAAATAATTATGTCTCTCTAATTCTGTTTACTTCTACCATGATCTTCTTCCATTTTTTATAAACAATGTTACCCATCCTATTGCATGTGCTTACTTTCCCTGTATATCAATGTTTAAAACCTTGGATATTCTTAGCTTGTTCATTGGGCTGTTTAGTTTCCTAAAGCACAAGATATTAATTGTTTTGTGATTCATAACTCTTATCACCTCCATAGATTTATAATTCATAGTCTCAATATTCCAAATACTAAATCTAATCTTGCTCACATGCATTAACTTCTTTAGCCGTGCCTATCCATATTAATGCGGTAACTCTTGCTCATTTAACACTACGTTAGGGTCTTGATATAACGGCTTTAACTCACTCATCACTGTCCTCGAGCCATACAATATGTTATTTACATGCAACGACCTAGCACTAGTACAAAAGCGTCTATTGTCCATATCCATGTGAGATTTAACAAAGTTTCACATTGGCTGTTAAGAGTCTAACACAACTCTCCTCCTTTTCTTGGGCTTGGGATCGGTTATAAACATAGGTGGAGTTATTGCAATCCTTAACCATTTATTCTATTTTATTTTTTTTCACTTGTTGTTGCAATGAATTTATCTAGATTACTTGAAATCAGGTTGTTATGATGGTGAAATTCTGAATACTCTATGTGTCGGTATGTTTCCACTGAATATAGATGTATGCTATGCTATTCTATGCTGGGCATCACACCCCAGTGGAACCTCCATACATGACCTTCACTAGGCTCCTCAATGGTGCCAAATCAGTATCTTATTTTTGTACATATGATTGCTCTTATCATTATCAAATAGAGTGTCAAAATAATGGAAGCTGATTCTCTCTTCTTTGTGATGGCTGTCTTGATTTGCCTTTTAACTTAATTCTAGATCTCTCTGTTCGTTGTAATTGATTTTCATTATTTACCTATAATTTGTAGGAATAACTTCTGGATATGTGAGCTTGCAAAAAAGCAGCATGAGCAACGATATATTTGATGTACAGATATTAACGGAGAAGTTGTTGAAACTCAACAATTCACAACAAAGCATTGAATGTATCCAAAATTCCTTCTCGATCCTTCTTCTTTTTAATTCCTCTTGGTGTTTTTCTTCATTATCTATGTGCTACTGCCTACATATGAATTATGGCTATGAAACCTTTCATGGCACATGCTCTTGATTCATTACATGGTATCAAGTTACTTGAAAGCCGTGCTGTGGTTTACTGGGTATAGAAAATATCTTCTAAAGGAAATGCAACCTATACTTTTCATGATGTAATTTCTATTTTCTTGATTTTTGCAAATGGTTTTCATTATTTCTTTTTCCTCAAATCCTCATTTAGTTTTAAAATAAAGTAAAGGAAAACGGACTGTTATGTAAAATTCCAATCCCCTCCCCAAAATATTTCATGTCTTTAGTGCAATAATAAATGATCTGTTTCTAGTCATTTTTATTTTCATTCTTGTTCAGGTTGTCCTTAGATTCCAATATTTTATAAATGATATTGGTTAAACTTAACCTAGTCCTGATGTTTCAATTTCAAGTCTTCATTCATGATGAGATAAACTTTGCTTGAATTATTAATGTTATATCTATTGTTATGCTCCAGATAAGTGGACAAATTTTTTATTTCCGTGTTTGAGATATTTTTATTTATGAAATTTTTTCCATAAAAAAAGGAGCATCCCATGTTGTTATTATTCTGGTACTTTTAGGGAAATTTCTATAAGCACATGTTACTTTCATGACTTTTATTCAGCCACTTTAGTCTCCTTGATAATGCAGTCTAAGCTACTGGTAAAAATTTGGCATACTCTAAGCAAGTGCTGTAGCTGAGTAATTTTTGAGAAGAAATATTACTGCAACTTTGACACTGTTATTTATTAACTTTGAGTTTGTTTTGGTTGATCTTGTCTTGTTCACATATTTTTTCCCCTAACTATCCCATCAGCTTTGTCCCGATGGTGCATCTCTCACCGGAAGAAAGCAAAAGACATTGTTGAAACATGGGATAAATTATTTAACTCTTCCCAGAAAGAGCAGCGTGTCTCTTTTCTATACTTAGCTAATGACATCTTGCAAAATAGTAGGCGGAAAGGTAGTGAGTTTGTCAATGAATTCTGGAAAGTTCTTCCGGTTGCTCTCAGGCATGTCTATGAAAATGGCGATGAATATGGAAAGAAAGCAGTGACCAGACTTGTAAGTTTTATTCTCTTGTCAGAAAATGTGGTTGTAGTATTGTTTATCTACTGGGACATATGCACTGTAGGGCCATGGCCGCCAGATTGGCTCGATTATTTTGGTTGAGGATTGTGGCCCATATTCTCTGTATCACCAGCATTTTTGTATGGTCCTACCATAGAAAACTAATGTATTAGGGAGTCCAATTTCATATCTATTTATCTTTATCGTTTTTCTGCATGATTTTTCTTTTTCTCACACTTATGGCTTGGGTATCCTTTTTCTTACCCGATCATTTCTTCATCATCACCATCACCATCATCATATTATTATTATTATTATTATTATTATTTTGTTGGTAGTAATGGTGTTTTCTATTGGTTTGACTAGGTTGACATATGGGAAGAAAGGAAGGTTTTTGGTTCAAGAGGTCAGGGTCTGAAAGATGAAATGATGGGTAAGACTCCACTTCCATCCTCTGCAAGCAATGGAAAGAGTAATCCTATCAAGATAGTGAAGAGGGATGCCCATTCTGTGAGAATAGTAAGCAAGAAGGCTGCATATTTTTTAAAATCTTTGATACACTTTTTGTGATGGTTTCAGTAAGTGTCTGATAAGGTTTGCTATTTGATCATCTTCTTTGTAGAAACTGGCTGTTGGGGGCCATCCAGAAAAAATATTGACTGCATTTCAGTCTGTTCTTGATGAACATCTTAGTGAGGAGGCTGCCCTAAGTAAGTGTTGTGCTGCTGTAAGGGATGTGGGCAAACTTATAGAAGATGTTGAAAGTACATTGGCTCAAGGTAAGAGTGCTGCAAATGAGACTTTCTTGCAGCTTTCTCTATATCGAAGTAATGGACGCTGAGCATAAAGTAACATGCATAGTAAATAATATATTTCACTGGTATCGATTATTTGATTAGAAACCTTTTTGATTGCAAGGTAGCTTTTGATTTGAAATATCAATTTATGCACCCGGGAAATAACAATGTTTGGTTATGCTTGGTGGTGGCTATCTAGAAGTGATAGGAATGAACTGTAAAGGGAGTACTGCTCCTGAAATCAGGGGTTTTACCTTTTGCTTTTCAATTCATGTAGCAAAGGTGGAAAGCTGAAAAGATTATAAAGAGATGCGCCCTTTGATTAGTTTTAGTGAATTTGAGACCTAAGCGATGGTAACATTAACATTTGACATTTTTAAAGAACACTTCTTTTTGGGTGTGTTAAGTTTACTTAATTTTCTAGGCATTACATTTTTGTTTCCATTCTTTTTGTTTCCTTGTCCATATACATACGTACGTACATATATATTTATTTATTGAAGTTGGTTGAAAAGCATGAACAACATGTGATCCTTACTAAGCCTTTCCTATTCACATTGCCATTATTTTGTCGTAAGTAAATGCTGAATAATATATTGATTGTTTTTAATAAAAATATTAAGTATTAAACGATCAAATATAATAAAATTTTTAGCATTCTTTTACTTTAGCAAAATGGTATTTTGATGGTTATATTTATTTCTGGATAAATTATTATTTTTAATTTGCAAGGAAGAGTGCACGAAAGGCACTCTTAGGTTACATGCATGCCAGTGCCAAAAGCACCCTGCTTTTCAGTGGCCAATAGATTTTAGAACCCCAATGGCAATACCCCAATTATCCCACTTGAAGGCTTTATGTGCTGTGCTTTCTTCACTAGCCAATCAGTGCTTTGGCTTGCCTCTCTTTGTTGTACAAGTAATTGTCACCTCCCAATCTCTACAAATCATATTTTTAATGCTTCAATCGAGCTAACTTATGATTTGTGCAATCATCCATTGTTGTTTAGTTTATTGCCTCAGGATTGTTTGCATAAAATATCTGCCTTCTGATTCCGAACTCTTTGCTGGCAGAAAAGCTTGCAAGTTTTCCCTCCAGTTCCAACATCATGGAGGGTTAAGCTCCCAATGTTTGTGGAAACCCCATTGTCTAATTCACTTGACTTCTCTAGTAATGCCACCACATGTAGTGCTTCCCTCCGTGATTGAACCATCTGTGATGACCCTTAACATTGTTCAAGTTTGGTGGATGCCATTTGGGTCCCTTATCTAGACGACCAATCTCGCTCCTCCATTTATCCTTTAGGCTAGCATGTTCATTTTGCTTTTAACAGGCATGTGTTGAGTAGTTTGCTTATATCCTTTCATTTATATGAGAAAACTCACTACACCCACTACACCTGAGATCCATATAACCCAACACGCCTATCCAAAACTACCTTCCGTAGTACTACTTTATATTTGACTTTAGTACCTTCACGCATGAAGCATCCTTGTTTGTGATCAAGGGGTGTGCTAGGTAACGTCATGCTTGGATCAGCCCGTCTAATTGGCCCTTTATGGCTTGTTTGTTCCTTCAATTCCATTTTTCTTCCAACTTCTATGGCTGAATTTTTTTTTTTGTGCTATGAGCCTTTATTATATTCTCTTTGCTTGTGTTTCCCCTTATTGCAAGGTAGACTTTGGGATTGTGCTTTCTTTTAGTTTTTGTCCCAAGCTTCATTGGTGGACTTTCTATTATTTGTTTATCCTTTGGGTTTACATAGCTACTCACACTTCAAACTTTTGGGTTTTGGATCTCTTGAGATGAACCCACATTGGGCTTAGTTTTCTCCTTCTCCCACATACACCCCATTCCTAATTTGCTTCCCCCCTCTTGATTTTCCTTACTAAGCATTGGAAGACAAACCCTCTTCTCCTTCTAAGTTATCCCTATCATACATCGCATCCTTTGGTTACTTTGCTTCTGCAAAGCTCTACTTTCTTGAAAATTGTAGGGTGTGTCTTCATATTTGCTAATGCAACAAATCTAGTATAGAGTGTCTTTTGATTTGCCTGAGGTGTACAATTTTGCTGCCCTTATGACTAAGTTGTTGAGTAGTTCTCTTTAGCTTGCATTGAGGTTTGAGGTTTGGCTTGTCTTCGAGCAAGCATCGACAGTCTATACTCATTGGAAAGTTTATCTACTTGCTCACCAGCCCTCAACAAAGGTACAGTTTTGGCAGAGCATGATTTGCTTTTATGGCTTTCTTACTTTTGATGCTTTCAATTCTTGGCTCTGGATGCATGTTTTATGGACAATCTACTTTTATGTGCTCATACGTTGCATATCCAAAGCATGCCATGTTCAAGCTATTGTTTTCAATGGTGAAAACGAGTTTTGAACAATAAACTTGGACACTTGTTTCTTTCATAAATCTATTTCAATAATTATATTGGTGAACATTCCCTTTTCTGTTATATGGACAATCCACTTCTGTGTGCTCATACATTGCATATCCAAAGCACACCATGTTCAAGCTATTGTTTTCAATGGTGAAAAACGATTTTTGGACAATAAACTTGGACACTTGTTTCTTTCATAAATCTATTTCAATACTTATATTGGCAAACATAACCTTTTCTTCACTAAACTCATCACCCTATATTTGTAGTGTTTTGCCAGTTCAATTACTTAGCCTCTCCAAGAAGTGCTTATTGTAATATTGGATGGGAGATTTAGGTTCCTTACTGATAGCACGTTGAGTCAGCATGCTCCTTGACTTTTGACTTATCAGAGAAGAAAGAGGAGGAAGTTAGATTCAGCTTTATAGAACTAAATTAATTTCTGATCATGTGTTGCATTTTCAGTATTAGTTAGTTAAATAAGTGGACCAATAGTTGTTAAGTGGTTCCCTCGCATTCAAGTCAGTTTTGAGTCTTCCCAAATATTTTGGGATATTTTTTGATTATTTATATATTATTCTGATGTAATTGCCGCATTAAAAATGGGCTAGTTTTCATTATAGCTAGTCACATTGAGAAATAAATTATCCTTTCCATCGGAGATTTTCCTACTTTGGCTATTGAGTTCATCAGGGGGATATTCTTGCTCTAATTAATTTAATAGATTTATTGGCTTTATTATTACTATAAGCTTGTTTGTAGAAGCCCCTTTGGCTGTCATTGCTTCAAAACTTGAAATGCTTACCTGCTAAAGGAAAAGGCAAAAGCACTTAAGGCCTCTACAATAAGGGCAAGAGACCTATGGATAAAAAAAAGTACCAATACTCTTATTGGGAAGAAGAAAATTAAGATGACTACAACATAAGGGGCCTACGTCCACCACACACAAAAATTGAATTCCCCAGATTCAATGGTGGTGATTTGTGTGGTGGATTCTAAGGGCGGAAAAATATTTCTACTGTTAGACTCCAGAAGATTTTAAAGTAGATGTAGCTTCTATTTATTGGGAAGGTGACACCTTGGATTTATTCTCTTGGATAAATTCTAAGCTTACGGTGCTGTATTGTGAAGAGCATGTCAAAGTGTTATAGGAGCATTATGGACCTCTAGAATATTTGAACCCTAACGAACACCTTAATGCCATTAGGCAGACTGGGTTAGTAAGGCATACCGCTAAGAGTTTGTGAAGAGAGTTGCATGTCTCCAACTGGTTAGAGCATTGTCTCTTTGGGGTCTTCCTTAGCGGTCTCAAAGAAGAGTTGAAAGCTAATGTACCCATTTAGAAACCTAAGACAACGTATAAGGCTGCAAGTTTAGCCCTAGAATTTGAGAAAAAGGCCCAGCTTCACCATCGACCCAAGCCCATTTCTCATGTAGCTCAAAATTACACCACACATGTTCATATTAACTCTACATGTGACTCTTGTGACACCAGGCCAGGTACTATTAACTCTTTAAACTCCTCTAAACTCTCCTCAGTGTTCGCGAACTCCTCACAATTCTCTCCCTCAATCTTGGCCCTATCCCTTCTATTAGACTCGAAGTAGTAACACTAGCGTGAAAAGGGGCTTTGCTTTCGTTGTGGACAAGTCTTCAACCCAGGGCATCGTTGCAATGCTTCTTTCTCCCTCTTAGAAATTGCTGAAGAGGACGAAGAAGTGTCACCCCTATTGAACAAAGTAGCTGAGACAAAGAGGGAGCCTAAAAATGTTGAGATTTCATTCAACGCCATCTTGGGGCAGAACTCAGCATCAACTATGAAGCTGTAGGGTACTCTAGAAGGGAGGTCAGTCTTTATCTTAATTGATAGCGGTTAAGCACGTAATTTCATCTCAAAGGCAGTGTTAGTCAAATTACAACTTCCTGTTAGAAATATTCTTGCTTTTGGTGTTCAGATTGGCAATGGCACTAGAGTAAAATGCCACCAGGTTTGCCCAAAGGTTAAGGTAAAAATTTCAGATTTAATTATTCAACAAGATTTCTACCCTTTTCTTTAGGGGTTGTGACTTGGTGCTGGGTATTAAATGGCTAGTCTCTTTGAACACGATAGAAGGCAATTGGAATAAAATGTTTATGATCTTTTGGCTTAATGGGAAGAAATACAAATTGCAAGGCTTAAATGCTTCTATTCATCTCCATAGATGCTTCTTACTCAAGAATCAGTTGAGGTTGACGCAACCGAATCATTGAATGTTGACAAAAGTTGTAATGACTTTGCTGATGTTTTTCTAAGCTAGTGAGTCTGCTGCTACCTCATGATTACTATCATGCCATACTATTGCTTCTAAATGCTTCACTGCCTTATTTATGCCCATATTGATGTCCTCACTATTTGAAGGATGAAATTGAAGCACAAGTTGAGGAGTTGTTGCAGCGTGGCTTTTTTTGGTCTAGTAACAGACCTTTTGCAAGTGTTGTCTTATTGGTTAGCAAAAATGACAACTCTTTGCACATGTGCCGGCTTAATCAGCTTACAATACTAGATAAGTACCCCCATTCCTAATACTAATGAGCTTTTAAATGAATTGTATGGGGCGACTTGTTTTTTAAAAATTGACTGGTGTTCTAGCTACCACCAAATTCGAGTACTTCTTGCTCACATTCTTAAGACGGCCTTTTGTACCCATTCGGGACATTGAGTTTGTAGTCATGTCTTTTGGCTTGACTAATGCGCCTGCTGCTTTCCAAGCAATTATGAATGATTTTTTCCATCCTTACTTGAGAAAGTTTATTCTAGTCTTTTTTGATGACATTTTGGTCTACAGCTCCTCTCCTTAACAACACTTGAAGCATTTGTAGGTTGTATTTCGTCTGTTACAACAACACTTACTTTGTAAATACCAAGAAATGCTCTCTGGGATAGTCTCGAATCAACTATTTGGAACATGTAGCATCTGCTCTTGGAGTGGAAATTGATTTGGAGAAAATCACTGCTGTTTCTAGTTGGCCAACTCTAAAATCAGTGAAAGATCTTTGAGGTTTTTGGGCTTCACCGGATGCTACTGTCGCTTTTTCAAAAACTATGGTATTATTGCTTAATCCCTCACCGGTTTGACAAAGAAAAATGCTTTTTGTTGGTCTAAATAGGCACATCATTCTTTTAAAGATTTAAAGCGTGCCTTAACCACCGCCTCGATGTTATAATTACCAGACTTCCACCTTATTTACATTTGAATGTGATGTGTCCATGGATGGTATAGGAGTTGTACTTATGCAAGATGGCTACCCCATAGCATATTTTAGTAAGGGTTTTTCCTTATCCAGTAGATTTAAATTTGCTTATGATTAAGAGCTGTTAGCTGTGATGCAGGCATTACAAAAATGTTGCCATTACCTTCTAGGCTGTCACTTCTATATTCAAATTGATCATTGCAGCCTCAAACACTTACTGGAGCAATGCACATTGACTAATTCCAAGCAAAGACTCATGATCAAACTCCTCTGTTTGATCTCACCATTATGTGTAAGCCTGGAAAGGAAAATACAGCAATTGATTCCCTGTCTTGAAGGCCATGGCGGCTATCTCAAAACCTTAAAATGACTTGGTGCTCAGTTACATTGGCATGTTTTGTGCACCGATGTCTCACTTGTCAACAAAACAAGTACCAAACTTTGGCTCGCAGGTCTCCTTTAGCCATTACCCATTATGGAACAAATTTGGGAAGAAATATCAATGGATTTCATCACCAGGCTCCCTAAATCCAAAGGTTATGACACCATTCTATTCATTGTCGACCGTCTAAGTAAGTACAGCCATTTAATTCCATTATCTCATCCTTTTATTGCCAAATTTGTAGCTGCTCTATTTTGTAAGGAGATTGTGAGGTTGCATGGCATGCCTCGGTCTATCACTGCAGATTGTGACTCCATCTTTTTAAGTGTTTTTTGGCAAGAACTCTTTTGTTTGAGCCAAAGTTGCTTAAATACAAGTACAACATATAACCACAATCTGATGGCCAAACCGAGGTGGTAAATTGCTGCTTGGAGACCTACAACCTAAGTTGTAGAGTAAATTTCTTTGCTGGGCTGAATTCTCATTTAACCCCAGTTTTTCACTCTTCAGTCCTTTAAACTAGTTTATGGACATGATCCTCCTTCTTTATGCCCTTTTGTGAAGGGAGAAACATTAGTTGCTGATTTAGAGGAACAATTGGAGCTGTGTGATGCAATGCTCAGAGTGCTGCATGATAACTTGAAGAAAACACAAGATAGGATGAAAGTTCAGGTGGATCAGCAAAGGTGAGACCTTTAGTTTGAACCAGGGGATGCAGTTTTTCTTCATCTTCAACCTTATTGCCAAAAGTCCTTGGCTAAGCATAAGAGGGGCGGGGGATTTTATTGACCCTACAAGGTTTTGAGATGTTTGGATCAGTTACTTATGAACTTGAATTGCCTCATAAGTCTAAGGTTCATCCTATTTTTCAAGTCTCCATCCTCTGACCACCTCTTGGATAGCAACCATCTTCACCACCAGCATCTTTAGCACTCTCTGCTTGGAACTTGTCCTTGCTCCAATAAAGGTGCTGAATCATCGTTGGACACTGGAAGGTATTCTGGAAATTTTAATTCAATGGGATCGCTGACCGCTTGTAGATTCTAGTTGGGAGGATTATGATTTGGTGGCCACTCAATTGCCCACTTTTCGACTTGAAAACTAGTCCTGTTTTTCAGGGGGGGAGTTCTCAAAATTCTCCTCCACTTTTGACTTATCAGAGAAGAAAGGGGAGGAAGTTAGAGTCGGTTATGAAAATTAAATTAGTTTCTGATTATTTGTTGCATTTTCAGTATTAGTTAGCTAAATGAGCGGACCAACAGTTGTTAAGTGGTTCACCCATTCAAGTCAGTTTTGAGTCTTCGCAGATATTTTGGGATATTTTCTGATTATTTATTTATTATTCTGATGTAATTCCTTCATTATAAATGAGCCAGTTCTCATTATAGCTAGTCACATTTGAGAAATAAATTATCCTTTCCATTGGAGATTCTCTTACTTTGGCTAGAGTTCATTGGGGTAAGATTCTTGCTCTAATTAATTTAGTAAATTTATTTGCTTTGTTATTACTATTCCAAGTGTTTAACATTTACCCAGATTGAATCATGCTCAGAACATTGCTGGAAGGAATGAGTTCTAGTGCCCACCTTTGTAATATAAATGATGTCCTAAGATTGCCCAAGATCCATCATTCAGGATTGTGTCATCGCCTCATGGGCTTCTTCATATTGGAACCTTACAATGTAATTGTTGTTTTCCACATCTATTAGCTCATAGTCCGGTATACTTAGCAACTTTGTGAGCCTATTTTTCATGAGCCTATATCTTAGACTTTTGCCTACCAATGTTATTATCAGAGCCTTTCTCCACTGTTTAGGGTATTCACATCTTTCACTTTGGGAGTTGGGACACTTCAATAATAGGATACGTCTTCATGAGCACTGTGCTTCTGTGTAATCACCAACTTCACTACCTTCTCTCCAGTTGTCATTTTATCTTCTTACATCGCCACATGCTCATTATCCACTCCATTGTAACCCAACAAAGAGTCCTTATACAAGACTTGACTCCTTTTTTGCAGCATCCCTTCACTAGTTCCAGTCTTTTGTTCTCCTGGGTTAGCACTTTCCATCGAGTTCCTCTTTTCACCTACTGCTGCAATAGTTCCCTTCTCATAGCTCATCTTTCCAATTGTTCTTTTCCCTTCCTTACGTTGGAGTATCTTCACATTTTGAGTAGTGAGATCCCTCTCTTTGTTGGAAGTCTCTGTCCCTTCTGTGTTGCTTATCTTCTCCAAGCTAAAGTTGTAGGATAAATTATTTTAAGGTCAAATTTTAAATTAGCAAGTAAAATGAAGTTAGATATTATACAAGGGTTGGCTTTATTTTAGTTTAATAATATTTCATAATATTTGCATGTCACTTGTTGGTATATATTTAGCTATTTCAATTAGGACCAAATCAATAAATAATAAACTAACTAGAACGTGATGCTATACACTGGTTCTTAGGTGAGTGGCATTGTTCATGACTTGTAAATAATGCACCTTTCTTCAAGTTTTATATTATAGATTGATATATCAATGTGTTAATTGGTTTAATGATTGGTCTAATTTTAAAAACATTGATCCTGAAATGACTTTGATTTTGAATATGATCCAACCAGATTTTAGGGCAGAATATTGCAATTTTTGATCCTCTTGATGATATGAAAGCCTGGAAATTTGTGCTCAGAAACTTCAACTTATTTTCTGAAAGAAAACAATGGAATGCACGGAACCCATGTATGAAAGAGAGAAGAAAGGGGGAAGCTTTGCATGTATCAGCAATATCTCTGTTGTAGAAATAGACTGCATAATATATGGACATTGTGCTCATGAAATGGTCAAATAATTTGGATAATTCCCATTTAATGGTATCTTTCTTGCTTTCCCTTAGATGTTTTCCAAGGCTGTATGCTCCTTGCTAGTTCTGAAGCAATGGGAAACTGAATGGGAGTAAATGCCTTCTAGTGTTTTTGAATAAGTCATGCTCAAGCAAGTCTTCTGGCTTTTCCCACCTTTAAGTGGGGGAAAAAAGGAAAAGAAAATGTTGAACTGCTGTTCTATGGAATTTGCAGAGATCATTTAAAGGATAAGAGATTGTTCTGTACTAATTTCCACCGTCATAAAGTATGAAATTAATGGTGGTCAAAAGTCAAGTGAAGCAGTATTTCCTTGATGAATAGACAGGCTTGCAATTATCTATAACAGTTGGACTACAGGAAATGCTGTTTAATTGGGTGCACTGGCTAGTGATATCTTCACTGAATAGATGTGCTTATGATTTTTCGCATTGGTTCTGGAACTGCTCATTATTCCAATACATGAACTAAAATACCTAATTATTTTTGGGCAGGACATTCTCATAGCACATGCTGACTGTCTGCTCTGCATTAGACAAAATGTCTTTCATTACTTCAATTGTTTTTTCTGCCTTTAATATTTGAAGGTCAACCAGATCTCTTTTTTTTTTTTTTTTGGTTGGAAACTATTTGGTATTTGGTACTTTTGAGTTTTCACCAAACAAATTCAAGCTGTTGGGCCCAAATTTCTATTTTACGTTAAAGTGATTGAAGAATTATTTGTATTGATGATTACCTTTTTTGTGGGTTGTTTGTTACATAGGGAATCAGCTAGGATCCACTTTGATGAATGACCTGCAAGATCAGGAAAAGGAGCTTAAGCAATATATATTGCAACTTGAAAATGCTGAGGCTGCTAGGGATTCCTTGCTTTCCCATCTTAAAGACGCACTTCTGGAACAAGTACAGATGTTTTTATAATCTTATATATTCTGAGGCTTCAATTGTTGACAAGCTTTGTGCGATTGATGACTGCTTACTGATCTAAAGTTTTTCAGGGATCAAGGCAGGAGATGGTCCGCACGCAGTTGCTGGTGAGAATCTGTCCTTTCATTCTTCATGGGTCTAACACTGTTATGGTCCGCACGCAGTTGCTGGTGAAAAATAGTATTTTATTCATAATTAAAATATTTTGTTTATACAATATAATGATGACTATTTTTCTCATATTTTTAAAAACGAAAAGTACAGTTTATCCAATAGTTATTAAAAACTTTGAACTAATCAGGACAATAATTTTAAATTAGTGGTCTAACCGTAGTTGAATTGAGATTAACTTGATCATAATTAAAATAATATGATTCAATTAAAATATATAAATATTTTTATATAACCATGATAAGGGCAATATTTAAATAAATAAGACATTAATTTACAAGTAAAGGAAACATTCATGAATAAATTGCACATAATACAATAAAACAATAACAGAGCTATTTAAATACTTAACTACAAAGCTGATAAGTTATTATTTTTTTATTCCTTTCAAGTTAAAATGATATGTTATGCTTAATAAAATTATTTAAAAATTAAAATTGATTAAAAATAAAAGAAGTGTTTTTTAAAAAATTTTGGATATTCGGGCTAGCCCGAAGGTGTTAGAGCCGGGTTTGGCTATATGGGTTTTTTAGAAAGAGTAGGATTCTTTAAGCCCGACCTGAATTGAGCTCGACTTGAATAAGCCCGGTCCTCCCGAATTACTAGCTCTACACTGTATGATATTGAATTTTTGTATACGGTTGTACTGGGAGCTATTCATTATACCAAAATAGCTTAAGCTACTTGGTTAGGACTCAAGATAGGCTTTTATACCCCTCATCTTTATCTCTCTTTCTTGTGGGTTCTGTTCAATTATCATTTTGTCTTTGCTAAATTAACTGAATTTTTTTTCTTGAAACTGTGTTTATAATGTTTTCCTATGAAAATGGTATATGTGGAACTATTTTAAAATGAAAATAGTATATCTGGAACTATTTTAATTTTCTATGCGTAAAAAGAATGAATTTCTAAATGGGAACATGTTTCGGTTCCCTTCATAGGCCCTTTTTTTCTGTTCTTTTCTGTGCTCTAATTTTCCTTGAATTCTTTTAGCGATGGTTTAGTCTTAAAAATTGATTCGCTATTGCATTAGAGCACATCACGTGATCTATCTTGGCTTGTCTTATTATTGATAAATATGCTAATAGTTGTAATTCATGTCAATTCTTTCTTTTCAACACGGGATGTTTTGATTTTGCTATTTGTTTTCATGCGACTTTTGCCATTTTTTATTTGTAATAAGCTCATCAACATTTGATCTGTCTTTTCATATCTGATACGTGATAAATTTACAAGGATTTATTCGCATCTCTTCCTACTTGCTTCCCACTATTGTGTGCTTCCACGTCTGCATCTTAGTCGCTTCAAATTTGTAAGGAGTAGGATCCCTCTCCCCCTTTGTTTTTTTTTTTTTCCCTAGACTGCAGACATGTCAAGGGATCGACTTATCATCCACTTGTTAGCATACTTCCTTTCTAAAATTGTGGGGACTTTTTCTGCTGTTTCTGCCTGGTACTGGTACTTTATTTTGCCAATATTCATTCAGATGACCACTTTCTCCAACACAACTGGCCCGCCCATATTTTATGAAATATTTTATAGGAATTGCATTTTGCCTCTTAGTTATGATATTAAATTAAATTCCATTAGTTTTTTTTTTTTTTCCAGGGTACGCTACCCAAAATGACACATCTTTTTTTCTTTTGCCTTACACAAAGGAGTTGATGGAGGTGTTACCTTATCAGTTTTATGTGAATTCTTAAAAACTTTATTTCTAGCTCTGTGGACAGACCATGCAGATAACAGCAGCTTGCTGACGATGCTTAAATTTCCCTTCCATGGCCATTAAACTTCTTATTCTGGGGTCTCTTATGATCCAGCATATACAGGCCATTTGGTGCACTTAATGGGATAGAAATGGAATGAAAAATGTGATTTGGGAGATGAAAAATGACTCTTGTTCCCGTACTTCAAAAAGTAATAAGAGGATGATAGAAACTAGGGGTTAATGATTACAAGACTATGATAGACATTGTAAAAAATATTCAACTAACCAAATGGCCTGATAGTCTCTGACTTGTACATACACTTTTATCTCCTTTATGTTACACTTATGTTTCTTTTCTTATGTGTGGAAGAGTGGTGTTGATGTTTTTATTGATTTGTAGGGTGCACGGGAACAGATTGACCGGGCAGTTTGTGTAAGGAAGAGGCTTAACCCAGCAGCAGAAGACACAAGGGTGTTGGAGCAGAATGCTCCTTCAGCTCAATTTAACAGCACCTCTGCACAGCCTCCTTTTAGCCAACCTCTTTTGTCATTTGCTCCTCTCAAGACTACTGAAGAAGATAACAAGAAGGCAGCAGCGGCTGCTGTTGCTGCTAAGCTTGCTGCCTCCACATCATCTGCTCAGATGCTTACGTCAATTCTTTCCTCTCTTGTTGCCGAGGAAGCTGCTTCCATGAATGGTAGCTCAAAACCCACTGGATTCACTTCTGGACTACCTATGTTCAACCCAGAGAAAAGACCCAAACTTGAAAAACCATTGCCTGATGTCAGCAATTCTGATGCAGGTGGCTCTTCATTTTTTGCCCCTTCATCACAGCCTTCAATGGCAAATATGCCACTTGCACCTTCACTGAACCTCCAGGCCATGTCACAGCCTAGTCAATTGCAAACTGCATTTGCTCCAGCACCCCCGCCCCCGCCCCCGCCTCCACCCTCTCATTCTCCAGCAAATCAATATGTCCAATCCACTGGTTTGATGATTGGAGGTATTCCTTATGGATATGGATCAAATAACCTCCCACCTCCACCTCCACCTCCTTTACCTCCGCATGTAGCAGCAGGGTTATCAAGGCCGAACACTCAGCCATCACAGCAGTCACAAGCTCAGCAAGCACAGCAACAGCAACAGTCTGCAACAGGAGGATTTTTCAGGCCACCTGGCGTTGGGTTTTATGGGCAAAGCCATCCTTCAACACCGCCAGTACATAGGCAGTGATCATTGTTCTAAGGACCATTGGCCAACATTGCCGCAACTTTTATAATTAGCGAGTTCCCCTGGGACTTTGCTGTAAGCCGAGGATGTTCTCCGAGGCTCTGTAACAATGTAAATTAGTAGAAAACTAGATAGCTGATGTCAGGATTTGCCTGTAGCCTTTTATACCCTTCAGGGATCGCCCCTTTGCAACTGCCCTTTCATTAGTGGTAGGTTTTGAAATCTTTCCTGTACCTGTACCTAAGATCATATTCTGTTGAGTCAATTATTGCGGATCAGAACCTGATGGCCCTCACTAGATTTTCTTGTTCCCTTTTTCATTAAATGTTTTAAAAATTGGCATGACTTTTGTGCTTTTTGTAGACCTCTTCAAGAATCCTGCTTTATGGGCTAATCTTAGCTGCTATGAAGCATGAGCACATATTTTTTAGAAGGATTACTTGAGTAGAAGTGTGAGGAGATTAGATGAACGAGTGAAGCGAGTCTTGTATTTATAGTAAATTTTACCGAAGTAAGGGTCGCTGAGGTTCACCACTCCTTTTTCTTGTATGCCAGTCCTCACCTTTCGTTGACTGAATTAACTTAAAAATCTAGTCTAATGAAACATGAAGCATAGATATGTTAAAGTAGTAGTTCTTTTCATATTTATGTTTGTGAGATACTCTAGTAGAAATAAATATTTAAACATGTGGGCAAGTTTTAGCTTACTTGATTTGTTATCAGTTTTTAACAAGCAACAGTCTTGTCTCACTAGACAAGATTGATTATATAAAATACATGACACTATTGTATTTTATTATTTATCAATTTTTTAAAAATATTGTTAATTAAGAGGTTTTAATTAATAATTTTCATAAGTATTCTTCTCGACTTTTTCTCTACCTCTTTTATCAAAGTTTAAAATTATTCATTTTACTTTCTTCACCTGTGCCTTTTATCGTCTTCTTTGTTATGTTTAAATCATCTTAAATAATTTTTTTATCTTTTTTCCTCAATTAATGCTACACCTTTTTTTTTTTTGTATATGCTTATATTGAATTTTATCTTTATGTATATGACTGCACATCTATCTCAACATTCTCATATTTGTCACTCTAACTTTACTTCTTGCTATCCTATTAAAGTTCAAAATTCACTACTATCATATAATATAATTAGCCTTATAGCAATTTAATAAAATTTTCTTTAAGTTTATTTGGTACATTTTGATTGTAAATAAATCTTTTAACCTTTTTTAAATTAAATTACTCAACTTGTATCCTATATGCCACATTTTCATTAATTTCCCCTCATGTTGAATAATAATTTTTAAATATTTAAATTTTTTCACTTGAGATATAGTCTAATCTCCCAATTTTACTTTTAAATTATTATTGGTTGACTTCTTATCAAAATTACAATCCAAATATTATATCTTATTCCTACTCAAGCATAAACCTTTTGACTCCATATTCTCCTCCATAACTCAAGTTTATAGTTAATCTCTTATTATCTTCGTAATAAGAACTATGTCATCCATAAAAAGAAGGGAGAATGACAGAGAGGTCCCACAATGACTAATTAATTCAAATTAGATCTCAAGTGCCAAACTTTAAAAATTTTCAACTTAATTTCTTAATTTTACAAATCTGTTGTGATGAATTTGCAACTAAAAAGCATGTATTTGGGAATTTTCTCTTGAATATGCTTAGTGAAAATATTTAAGATTAATTCAAACCAACAAAGATTCAAAGATGATCCCTGATGTAGTCAAACCCTTATAGTAAAGTTCTTTGATTCACCGCGAGACGTTCTCATATTAATTGTTGCTCATTCATATATATATATATATATATTGTATAACTCTAACATAGGCAACTCAGACTGCTTTCTTTTCTGAGGTATTTCTCTCAGTATATAGTAATAAGCTTTTTCTAAATAAATAAAAATAATGTGTAAATCTTTACCTTTACATCGATACTTTTTTATTAATTCTCTTAATAGATAAATAGCTTTTGTAGTTACCTTATCTGGTATGAAGCCAAATTGATTTTCAAAAATACCAATCTCAACCTATATTCAATCACATTTTTTTTCTAATTTTTATTGTATAACTCATAAGTTTAATCCTCTATAGTTTGCACAATTTTCACTATCTTCTTTATTTTTGTAAAAATTATTTGTTATTATTTTTCATTATTTAAAATTATTTCATAAATCAATTTTTAAAATTTTTCTCAAAGTAAAATAAAATAAAAAAGGAAATATATTAACAATATAAAGATTGAGTCAAATTTTTACAATTATTATACCAAGGATAAAGGTAAAAACAGAGAAGAAATCATCAAGAGTGACATAAATTTCCAAACGGTGAAAGTGAGAAAGAAGAAAAAAAATATGTTTAAATGGATTCATAAGATATCCCAATAGAGCACGTGGTTTAGGGAAGACCATATAACTGAAAACTCATTCTTTCGGGAACATTAAACAGAGTAATGCTTCCACTTGGGAATTTTCTTGTCTCTAGAAATCTTAATGATATCGAATTATGGATAGTGATGATATCGGGAACCCTAGTTCTGGGTTTCTTTTTCTTTTTTTTTTTTAATCTGCTTGGAGGATTTGTACCTGTAAAAGAATTAAACCAGATTATTGACTCCCAACTGAAGGCCTAGTAGATTTATTTCGCTAGATGTTTGTACATTTCAAAAGGGAACAAATAACTGTATATTCTGTTGGGGTATACGCACGGGCAAGGAACAAGTTCTTTTAAAAATATTTAAAAAATAATAAACAACTTTTCTTTATCACAAAAAATATAGTAATTATTTTCTTCTAGATACATTTTATATAAAACTAATATTAGAATGAAAATTAATAATTTTTAATTTATAATATATTTAAAAGTATTCATATTTAAAATATTGAAAATGATTAAAAAATTAAAAATAATAAAAAAATATCAAAGGTGATCATAAAAACAAGATGTTTAACTAAAACATAAAATTTCCAAAGGTGAAAATGAGAAAGAAGAAAAAACATGTTTAATTGCATTAATTTAAAAAAATTAAATTTTATTTAAAAGAGCCCTTTTGAATTCTGCCATTATTATCATATTTAGTTTATATTCGTATATTTTAAAAAATTATTACTAAAAACTTAAATGCTTATGAATTTATAATTTAATTGGAGTTTATGTTTATTATAAGTTTATTTAAACTCACAATTCGATATAGATAATTAGCTTATAAAGACATGCTAATACCTTTAAATATTTTAACATGGTGTTTACGAATCAAATTATTATTTTAGAATTGTTCACAATGTTAAAGATTGGATTAAACTATAAGTTCGAAAAACTGATAGATGATAGAAGTCTATACAATTTTAATAAAACTAAAGGGAGATAACAGATTTACTAACAATCATCCTTCTAATTGTTCAGTTTTATTCAGAGATATGATACGTCATAAATTAATTTTTCTTTCCTGCCATGCCATTTTA